ACAGATGATGGAGGCACAGAGTGATGTCACAGAGGAAAGGATGGAGGAAACTAAAGGAAAGAAAACGTACAAAAAAGATCAGAGCAGGAGGTCTTCTCTGGATGATGTTTTACAGACACCAGAGGAGATTCAAATGGTGAGTAAGATCTTCTGTTTACAACTCCTAGAAGCTTTAACTCTATTGCATGCCAAAATCTTTCACCAACATAGCTTAAAAACAAAGTGATGCTACATTTGTAATGAAAATAGCATTATTGCAAAAAATGAAAGGTTAAATTAAATGGTGATAAACACATTTTGAAACACTCAAGGGTTTTGCAGCTAGAGCTTCATCAGGTCCGGTATGTTTGCTTATATTTGCAAAAACAAATAGAGTGCTTATTAAAGCTCTAAGAGAGTTCTTGGTTTATGAAACAGACATAAATGATTTTGGTGCTTCTTTATGAGAAGATTGACTATTTCTGTATTCTTTTTTAATGCCTGAAACTACTGCTGCTGGGTAGGTGTCAGTAAAATTAATTAATTAAAACTTAAGAAACATATGTTTTTTACACTTAGGCCCTGTGTCCAGCTAGCTTGTTTTATTCTCAAATGATCAAATGTCAGTTAATGTGGTCTGATATGAACAGCTGATAGCCAACCGCAGCTATCGTGGGCTGCAGTCAGATTATTCTTTTCCATCGTTTTTATTTGTGATTCAGAAACATATTGTTCTAAACTTACACACATTCAGGTATTACAAAGAACTGAGCGAGCCTCAGACAAAACCCTGCCTGTGTGTCTGTGTGTTGTAGAGGTACTCTGCAGCGCAAAGAATAGGACTGCATGATGACAAACAGGACAAAGGAGGAAAAGTCTCCTCCATGCTACAGATGATGGAGGCACAGAGTGACATCACAGAGGAAAGGATGGAGGAAACTAAAGGAAAGAAAACGTACAAAAAAGATCAGAGCAGGAGGTCTTCTCTGGATGATGTTTTACAGACACCAGAGGAGATTCAAATGGTGAGTAAGATTAAGTTTTCTCAACTGCTAGCTGGTTGTCAGGAGTTAAAATTAATTATTTATGCTGTAGAAAAAAATCTTTTTAAACTTACACATCATCATCCCGGGATCAGTCCATTGAATGAGCTGCCCGCTGATGTTTTCACCCACTCTCTTTTTAAACTTTTCTTTGCATTTCAACCAAACTCTTAACAACTCTCCTTGGTGCTGGATTTCTTTTCTTGTTTCTGTTACTCTGCTTTTCTTCTCTTCCTCTGTGCTTTTCTCCGTGTACGGTAGGATAGTGACATGGACATATGCAAAACTCTAGAGTTCATATCGACTCTGCTGGAGCAGGTGAGAGCTTGATTTTAGAGGACACATCTTCATTTAATTTATTCTTGCTTCTGGCATTGCCTTGATATTATTGTTATTTAGACATGATTAATATAATGTTGTAATTTATACATGTGTTCAGGTTACACTAATATGTATTGAAGAAGGCTCAGTGAAGGCTCTTCCTCAATAGATCAATAAGCTAATCAAAACAGCTGGATCTGTTATTGACATTTTCCCAGATTCACTTCTTTCTAAAACTCATGCCTGTCTGACTGTGTCTTGCAGAGGTACTCTGCAGTGCAGTTGCGGACCATCACCACCGAGGTCCTGAAGGTGCTAAACACCACTGAAGACCTGCTGCATGGAGTGAAGGGAGGAGACAAGCTCAGGTCCTCCACCCCCTCACTGCCCCCCAACACTGACCCCAGAAAACTGGACCAGCAGTTCTCCAAACTGGAGGAGAACGTAAGTCCAGCTCCATGTCACTTTACATTTTGTGATTATTATAAGGTTACGCTTGAGGGGAGTTGACTTTATGTAACAAAAACACAGGTTTCATTTAGTCAAAGTTCTACATTTTGAAAGGAACCTTGTGTTGGACTGCAGGTGTACGTGGCAGCGGGATCAGTTTACAGTCTGGAGGCAGAGCTCGGTGACCTGGAGGAGTGCGCCAGGAGCATCAGTGGATCTACGTCAGACATGGAGCTGTCCTTCCTGGAGGAGCAGGTGGCCTCAGCAGCTGCCAAAGTTCAACAGTCTGATCTGCAGGTGAGCTGAAGAGCTGAATCATTTTTTTGTGCTGCTTGTGGAAACAGCGCGCCTAAAGCCATGTGTGTGAGCTTTGTGAGGCTTTGATTTGTACATAAAAATACAGGATGCTTTTTGATGGAAAGACATGATTAAAATCTCCACTCTGATGGATACTTTGGTTTAATTTCTCACTCTGGCTTCTGCTGTGATTTGACCCTGATGGTGTATCTGTAAAAAAGAACATCTAAGTATTAACTCAATCTGGAATCTGCACAGGAGGCATGCAAGGCAAAAGCCCAAAAAATGAATAGACCCTTAAAAAAAACTATGAAATCATATCTGAAACAATGATTCTGTTTGTGTTGTCATTCTCTAGATTTGTGACATCTCAGCCAGAATTGCGGCTTTGAAGAATGCAGGGCTCAATGTGGACACACAGTCCGCCCCACAAAGGCCAGGACGATCCCAGTGATGGTACTGTACCTGTATACCTTATACACATCTTATCATTAGAGTGCATCAACATGATGTCAAGAGCTTGTTTATGTATACAAGTAAACCCTCATGTTTCATCTGCATCTTCCGCAGCCTGTCACCCTGGACTCATCCAGACAGTTTAGGAGGAGATTACCTGCACCACCTGTGAAGGGTAAGAATCACCAACCACACAACACACTGACTGTATACAGCGGGGTTTTTAATGATACATTGTTTTTATACTTAAAGGAAATCCAGTTATGGCAATTAAATATCACACATAGAAAAAAATGAGGGTCTTCTTTGAGCGTTACTACCATCCAAATACATTTAAATGGAATAAGCAGCTACTTCAGTCCCTGTCAGAATGCATTGTTGGAGATCATCATCTCTCACATATGTGACTGTATGAAAAGATGGACAACATGACAGCTCCCCAAGAAGTGAAGCTAAAACATTTGGAGCTCCCCCTACAGGCTATTTGCGGTGTCAGTCATAAGCTCTGCCTCCTCCATGTAACAGATGGGTCAAACTATGAAATCAAAATACTCATTAATAACGTTTTATTTCAATTTAGCTGTTATCGTGCTTATTTATGTCAAAGAGTTCATTTTTTTCTGAGAAGTTACGTTTTAATTGGTTATTTGATGCTATAATAAGGGTTAAAATGACTTGATTGACAGCTCTAATAACAAAGGCTCCTGAGGCACTGTTTTCCACAGATAAGCAGAGTAGAAGAGGAACTGTGACAAACACTAACTCCTTATTTCCACATACTCCATGTGTGCCATGGTCTGTCAGCGCCACGGTTTTGCTTCGTCAGACGGCGCGCGCCCTGCCCCACTGGGTCAATTTCCGCAGAGCTTTGTCTTTCTGAGGTTGCTTGTTGTTCATTTGGTGCCTGTTTTGTCGATGTTGATAAAGTGATGGAACATAAAATCGTGAGTACGTATATTGTGTTTTATTTTGAAATTGACCGGACGCTCTGTGCGTTTCCTTTTCTTACTTCCTGTACGGGTCGTTCTATTCTGTCCAGCTTGACGTGTGATTGCAGCAGGTTTTGTTGAAAATAGACTCGCGGCTCATTTGAAATAGAGCAGAGCGTAGCGGCATTTCTGGCACGCTCCGGAGACGCTCTGTGCCGCTTGCTGGGATTACACAATCATTGACTAGAGTGTCAGCGAACGGTGTCGGCGCGCTCGGAGTATGAGGATATTGGGAGTCACACCAGAGTTGTTGAACTTTCTGTTACTGTAATTGTCTGTCCTGTACCGACACAATAAACTGTCCTGTTGTGGACTTTGCTGATCTTTTGGGATTTTTGCCGTTTTAAAAATAAGTGTAGTATATATGTTTTGTGAAGTGTAAGGGGCTGGACTTTAAGATGGTGGCAGTATCTAATATCCAACTATGGCTCTGAATGACATCATTAGGTCTGCACCCATCACAGGCGGTACTTTGGCTTCACATCACAACAGTGGGAGGGCGAGATGTATCATCTGTCTTTATATACAGTCAATGGTCTTTAAACAGGACCCTCATGTGAAGGTTATGTCAAGTGCTTCCCCAACGCAAAACTGTATCCTCATCATGTCCTCACACTGTTTTCATTTGGTTTTTCTGAATGTTTGTCTTGACATTCTGCTGACATGAATGCAGTACAAAGTTCTGTTTGACTGATGTTTGACTCTCTTCTCTCACAAGATAAAGAAACCTAAACCATGGACCACGCATCGTCAAAGAACTCCACCACAGCAGTGCCTTGACTGTCTCGCCCTGCAGACTACAGGCCAGTCTTAAGTGATCCATTTAGAAACCTCTTGCCTTAATACAATGTCAAACTGAACATGCCTACAATGACACAGGACAGTACTACTGTTTGTGGATTCTGTTTAGATGTCCTCTGTGTCACTCTCACGGTGCAGGAAACTGCTGATTTTTCGGTCATTGAATTAAATGTTTTGTAGATATAATCAGATTGATTAGCAAACCTTTCTTAAATTTATCCTCACTGATCAAATAAAAGGATAATAAACGTTACGATCCTCAAATGTAAGAACAAGAAAATCAGTACACAGAGTTTGAAGGCTTTATATGCGATTTTTCACACTTAAATATAATAGAAATCAAGTATATCCTCTGAAAATAACTCTGTGAGTCATGACTGTCTACAATGGGTGTAACACCGAGTCCCACTGTCTCTGATGTTTTCAGAGTTTTCAGAGTCCTATCTTCAGTTTGTTTACATCGCCGGGACGGCCGGCCAACTCCTCCCCTCGCGTATAAAAGTTGTTTAATTGAGGGACTAGAGAAAAGAAGAATAACATACTGTACTCACTGCTTAACTGTGTTTCTAGATCACGATCATTTCAGGTAAATTTACATGCAGTGTGAAGATACAGCAGAATAAAGATCGCTAACATTAGCATGCTAACACAACAATGCACCGCAAGTTGTTTTGGTTTCATGCTGGTGCTCAAGGGCGACATCTGCTGGGTCAAAAAAAATCGCATAAAAAGCCTTTAACACCTTGAGATAAATTGTTACATTATACAGCTTGTGTACGATTAATCTTGTTAAATGCTTTAATTATAATATTTTTATAGACCTCTTTTTAACGACTGTAGTAATCCAATGAACTTGCTGATGAATAATATCATATCAATGGTTATTAGTGAGTGAAAGAGTAATTATCAGCAGCACAGCTTCTGAATAACACCCACAGTAGACCTGTTTGTACTGTTATATGATAAATGTACACACGACATACATGTGGGAACAATTAAATATGTTAGAAGATTTGAACTGTCTCATGTCTAAAATAAATAGACCTGTGTTTTCAATGGCTGTGGATGTTTGTGATGTCTGTACAGCTATCATCAGTTAACACGTTTTCTGCCTTTGTCGTCATTAAATTCAGAAAGTAAAGACGCACATTCTGCATAAAATCTGTTTTTCTCTGAGATGAGCAGCAGAGGAAACACTGCACGCCCTGTTTGCATCCCGGATGAAGGTGGGTGTAATGGTGAGGTATTTAGTCTGTATTTTTCAGATGAGGAGGAAGTGACACCTGACTATGACATTCCTACTTGTGAAGAAGTGTGGGAACAACACATAAACGGCTGGAAAATAACTGACTTCTTCACAAACATGCAGCAACATCCCGTCTTGCTCCGCAGATAAACTCAAAAAAAAAAACACACCTGATCTGAGCGAATGTGAAACATCTTTAAAACAGTCCAATGGCTCACCTCAAAACTGTAAACATGAAGCCAAACTGTAAATAAAATATGTACCGGTAGTTATAATCTCCTCGTGGGTCCGGTGTTTTCCCCTCTGAATGCTCAGCTTCTGTCCTTGAAATGAACCTGAACAACAAGAAGTCACAGCATTCAAGGAGGGAATGCGTTGTCCCAAAGAGAACCAGCTCCGCCCCAAAGCTTTGTGGGAAAAGTAGTTTTGGTCAGGATCTCTCTGATATCAGAAAGCGCTCCCTCTGATCAGGAACTATGAATCCTTCTTTCTGTTCACTCTCTCTTCTATCCGACATGACAAAAGACTGTTTGGGGTCGATGACCACCGTGCTGTCTTTGTCCGGAGACTCAACCTCGGAGTATGAAGGGTGACCTGAGCCCCGCCTGAACTTCAGGATTGGCCAACGGGTTGGCCGCCGCTGAAGGGGGGGATGAACAAAAGATAGTGAACACACAAATCTCCATTAAAACAAGTAGTTATTTACTATTGAAACAAAGAATATACTTTGTCTTTGTGCTCTGCTGAATTGCACCACTGGGGATGGATACATATCAACAAATTCAATCAAGCCTTTTAAATGTTTATTGAGAACAACTCCACCTCTTTGCATGTTTTTTGAATAGCCTAAAGTTAGTTGGAGTCACCATTTTTAAAATGACGACCATCATAGTTTGGCTTCATAATGCCTCTTCAGAAACCAACGGGTGACGCCACTGACACCACAACCATGTCTTATACAGTCTAACAACCAAACATTGGTAAGAACTGAGGGCACGAGTGTCACTGACCTCCATGAAGAAGAGACTTGCGCTGGATGTCGGGTTGTTGTACATGTAAACAGATGTGAGGACAGCTGCTGCGATGATGACCATCGCCATGATGATGCCCGCAAGTAGACCCATCTGCAGACGTTCATCGCTCTCTCCTCTGCTCTCTCGGGCTCCTTCTGTACAGAGGTGATGTTGGTACACTCAGTGATGTCATACAGACACAAAGACACAGGGTTGATTTTAAATAGCTCACTCTGTAATCCCACAAAAACATGGAGGCTTGAGTTTCACACACATCAGATGTAAATCCATTTGACAGAGAAGTATGTTTAGACAAGAAATTGACATGGCAACTACTGACAGTATGAGTTATATTAATGTAAAAATATGATTGACAGGCCCGCCTCAACCTCTTTGTCTGTTTCTAGAATTGAAGTCAGGTAGAGATAGCGTGTTAAATATGGCGATCACCATCATTCGGCTTCATCATCTGTCTTCAGTAGGGTTCAATGGGTGACATCACTAAGTTCAAGTTTTAACCATCAGTCTCTGAACTTACATTAATGATTTGAGCAAACTATCAAACACCTGAAGACGTTGTTAGTCCACAAACAACTTTTACAAATGTGGAATCAATAACCCCTAAAGGATGAAACTACATGTAGTAACAAAACAAATAAACATGCAGTTTTTACATCATGAACCTTTGTTTTGCTCAGTTTTTTACCCCAAACTTTATTCCATACTGCGTCAATAAATAAAAAATGTGTTACCTTTCAGTGAGTCTGGACAAGCACCTCATTCAATTCAACCAGTTAGAAATGATTTCTGTGCAAGTCCTACAGGAAAGTCTGCACAAATGCTTTCACAGTAGGTCAGCCACACGTACTCACACATCTGCCCGTAATGCAACTCAAAGTCTTTAGGTGTAAAGTTTGGGAATCAGCCATTCTCAAACTCTGTCCTCTTTTCCTTTCGAAATTATGAAATATTCTGATCCTTAAACTTTGAAGAGCTTTATGTTTTTAACAAACTCCAGTTGGAAACAAAGCTTTTTGCTTTTTGGACAGTTCAGCTGGTTAACAAAAGCGCTAACAGCCCTCCCATATTTTGACCAACCAGAGTGATGCACATACGTTGAGTCATCCTTCAGCAGCTGAGGACAGTATGCAGTATTTAACATGGCGCTGTATACACTCAGCTATGAGCTCACAGAGGGCTGGGAAATAGCTGACCATTTGACCCCGACTCTGTCAGACTTCACACAACTAACAGGCGAGGAGCCGATTCAACAACAGCACGTATCGATTCATGAGACGTACTGACGACCTGCTCAAGATCACGCTGAAGTTTGAGATGAATACACATTGAGGTTCCAACAGAAGATTTGAAAGGATTTTGTCGGGTTACCTTCCGCAGGGTTGCTGGTAGGAGTCTGAGGAGAGGATTTGATTCTGCTCATACGTCCGTGTGATGGGGGGTTGGGGGCACTGGGAGCCTTGCTGTGGGGGGTCGAGGTCACGCTGGAGGTCCTCCGCTGCATTGTGGTGGTTGTAGCCGGAGTGGTCGAATGAGTGAGGTGAGGAGATGTAGCGTTTGTGAGGTTTGTCGGTCGGAAACACTGGGGATCTTTTCTCTGGAGAGACAAACGTCAGTAAACACTTCTGTGCAAGACAGACTCAAAGAGGAGGAGAGTTCTAACGTTTGTTTTTTATAAAGCCAGAAATAAAGAGAACCTCCTCAGGGCAGCCGAGGTCGACCCAGTCCTGCCGGAAACGATCAAAGCCGCTGGAGCACCTGAGAAAGAAAGTAAAGATGAATACATGGAATAAACACAGCTGGCATTAAAGGAGGACTTCACAAACATGTAAGATACTCCGGAAGCACATTCTTACCGAAGAGCAAAACATGATGAAAACTTTGACATTGATTAAAACAAATTATACTCATGATGTGTCAAAAAGCTGAAATAGTGAGATGAAAAGTATTCTCATAAAACATTGTATTATGAGATTAAAAAAAAAAGGTAAAGCTTAAAAATCAAAACCATGAGAGGAAAAGTCACAATTATGAGAAAAGTGTCAAACGTCTACATAAAAAGTGAACGTACAAAAAGTAAGAAACTATGGGATAAACAGGAATAAATATGTCTTAATACATCAACAGTTTGTGGCACACTGATAATAACTTTACTTTTTATTGTGAGCAAATAAAAATCTTTAAAGAATCTTTACAATAAAAAAAATCTTTAAAGAATCTTTACAATAAAATTTTCAGTGAGCCACAGACTTTTGATTTATTTTCGTGGTATGATCCTGCAACGTTGTGCAGCTGAGAACGTGTTTAGACTGTGCACGGGGTATGTGTGCGCTATTTAGATGCCTTAATACATGTTTATGACATCGACGGCCTTAATTATGAATTGAAAACTTCAGATTTAAAAGTCAGAATCATTAGACGACTGATAACCCGTAATTTTGATCAAAAAAACTATAATGTGTTCATAACCTGCATTACTTGTTGATAACATTCAAATTGAGATAAAAGCCCAAATTAAAATGTCAACATTTAAGATTAAGACTTGTGATTATGAGATGAAAAATTATTGTTCTAGATAGATTTACATTTTGTGACAGAAAGTCGATATTATTAGGTACAAATCAGACATGACAACAGCAACAATTAAATGATCAAAGTTCTGAAAACAGTTTCAGATCAAATATTCCTGTATTTAACTAAAAGTAGAGAAAGTGAAAGCTTTCTCCGTGGTGTAAGTTCACCCAATGCCTCCCAGTTTTACCTTTGTAGCCGACTGCACCAGCTGCAGTTGAAGCCGATGTGAGAGGTGACACATGCGCCACAGGTGGAGAACTGCAGACATGCTGGGAACAAAGAAACCCGTGAAGAAGAGTGAGGAGGAGGAGACCGCTTTGACCTCTGTACATTTGACCTGAATGTATTTCTACAGGCCGTCCCACAGCAGTGACGCTTTTATGAAACTACTGACACATTTTCACCATCAGATGTCATTCACTATTAACCTCTTGACGATTGATCAATCCTTACAGAACACAAGTGGAAATATTTCACAAATCTATGTCTTGCCATCTTTATAGCACTTCTCTTCTTACTCTTAAATATTAATTCACTTACTGGGGAGAGGGAAAATCTCCACAGCTGTGGAGTTGGAGATTTTGGACTTTAGGATGTTGACTTTGTGATACTCAAAGATGGTTTTCCTCCGAACATCTGCAGCATGTAAGACAGGATATTAATTAATTAGAAGGTTTTTTAAAACAAGTTAAATTAGTAACTTAAAAATCTTCCATAAAGATTTAGATGTCTCACTCACTGGGGATCTGCTCTATCTCATGAAGCACCACAAAAGCATCCGACAAGCCCACTTTGACAGGATGATTCTCGCTGCTGATCTCACTGATGTCTACAGGAATCTGGGAAGAGGAGAAAAAAAAAGCTGCATCATGTCACATTTTTTAACAGAAGAACAAGAAGATGAGAAGAATTGTCACCTCTTTGTATGCAAAGACGATGCGTCCGTCGCTGTGCAGAACAGCCTGGAAGGTGAAAGATCCCAGACTGATGTTGTCCTGGACGTGAATCTTGTTCCACTGAACCACCAATGCAGTCCCTACACAGTAAACAACAACAACACATGCACACATTAAGTGTAAATATTCTACAGCTGATTCACAAACAAACCCTAACCCATAAAAGGAAGCATAGTGAGGTCATGCAAATGTCTTCCTCTGACTCTCTTACCATTGTCAAAGTAGACCACTGAGCAGTTTTTGGACAGACTGGGGTCAAAGTTGGCCATCAGAGGGGCGATGTACTGTGTCGCTGTGAGCAGTGTGTGGATTATATCCCCCGTATAAATAAAACCTGTGAGATTAAAAAACATGCAGAGGCTGCTATTAGTAATTTATATGCTGAGCAGTGAGATGACAACAATGTGATTTTCACCCGTGCATTCTACTCCCTCCTTTACGGATTCATAGACTGTATAAAAAGATGGACGGCATAGCTCCCAAAAACTGAAGCCAAAACATTTGGAGCGCCCCCCCTGCTGACTGTCTGCAGTATATGTCACAAGCTCCGCCTCCTAAATGTTTGGGCTTCACTTCCGGGGCTCCGTCATGTCATCCATCGTTATTTACAATCTGTGATTCCTCCTCTCACCTCCGGTTGCCACGGTGATTTCTTTCAGCATATGGCCGTAGAAAGGGAAGTCAAAGGAAAGACTCACTCTCTGGAAAGGAAAAGCACAATTTTAATTGTATGATAAAGATTTTCAACAAACACTGTCAAGTGACTACAAAACATTAAAAATAGATTCCTGTTTCTCCTTCTTCTAACTGGATTTATTTCATTTTCATAAAACATTCAGTACCCCCTGTTAGTACGAATTTTCATGAAATTCATAAATCTTGTAACTTCGTGAAATGTATTATTTAAGTCTGCCTACCACGTGTTAACACTCCTACCTTTAGGTGTCTGAAGCTGTAACCGTATATGAGCGAAGCACCTAAGTAGTAGCAGATCTACATATGGAGAGGAGCCAACTATATGTTGTCAGCAACTGTTTGCTAGACAGAGAGTCTACATCTGATACGTATACAAATCAGCGTCATGTCATCTTCATTGTTTATGGTGATGCACCCAAATAGAAAGGAATTTGTGGGTTGCACCTTTTTGACAGAATATAAGCAGCACTGGAACACTTTACTTTGTCAGCACTTTGTCAGTCAAGTGATTTGGAAGCGTGCTTGTTTGATGAAGTTGTCTGACCTCGGCCGATTAAACGGTGTTATAATCTCCAGTCTGTTTCACGATTTCTTCATTAGATTTATACATTAGAAACAAACCCCACCTAACACCCCCAAAACAATGGTTTGATACCTCGGCTTGTCTGTGGGTGCTGGAAAGAGTGCCAAAGACCTTCCACTCCTCCTCTTTCATCTGATCCACGTTCACCCACAGCTCTTTACTGGCCGCCTCACCTGAGACGTAGATTTTAGATGTGTAGTAGGCGTGATCGATGTCCTGTCCAAAGATAAAGGGATGGATTTACTTTGAATACATATTTTAAAAATAAATACAAAGAGGTGGAACTACATTTAAAAAATATATTGTTTAATATTAAAGGTTAGGAACCTGTTATTCATATTTTTGAAAGAAGGAAGAACATGCATCACTCACTCAAATCACTTTACAGTCAGTAAACAAGACAATCAACAAAAAAATTAATTAATAATAAAAAACTCTCTTTATATATTTTATAGTTATAATTGAAATGTTTTAAATTCTACTACGATTTATCAAATGGTCCAAATGTCATTACTGTTACTCATATGGACTGTATTAATAGATGGACGACATGACAGCAGCCCAAAAGTGAAGTCAAAACATTTGGAGCTCCCCCTCCTGACTGGCTGCAGTACGCAGTATGTCATAAGCTCCGCCTCCTCCATGTAAACAGATGGGACATGGGTCAAACTATGAAATCAAAATACACATCAAATAAATTCTTGTTAAACGTTTTGTTTTTTGTTTTTAAACGTAATTCCTGTCGTGCTGATTAATGTCCTAAGTGATTTGAGAAGTTCAGTTTTTTCATGCTGTAAATAAATGCAGCAGGAGGACCAATGACAGGAATTTAGCAAAGACTGACAAGAGCCATTTACATAGCGGTAACCATGAATTAGGGATGAACGTTATATTGTTTTAACAACGCTATTGCCATGTGTTCATGTGCAAAAGTCAAGAGTGTTTAATTTAAATATTAATTGATGGACTTAAAAATACATCTCATTTATCTGTCACTTCAATTTCTAATTTTGTTTGTATAAATGGTGATATATATGGCAGAAGATTTTTTGTTTCTCGCAATCTCAGTTGTTTCGAAGTGTTTCAGGTCTTCCGTGAATCCTTTCTGCTGTGGACTCTGACTACCTGAAGGATCTTCTCTCGTTATTCAGTACGTTAAATGTATTTTTTGAGTAAATGAAAGAATGGTCGGGACGTAAATACCGTGGCAGTCTACTTTGCAACTCCAGTTCTAAATGACGTCACCAGCGCGATGTGTCAGCTCATGTCGTAGAGGTATTTTGGCCTCCCTTTTGGAAGTGGAGATGTGCTGTCCATTTTTATATACCACATTGGGACTGCTTTACAAAAAGACCTCAAGATTTCATCCTATTTGAAGACTAACTACACATGTTTTTAAAGTGAGGTCCCTATGATGTTATGTTTAGTTTGGACCTTCAGTCGTCTTCTTAACAACAAATCCTTACCACAATCTGTGTAGAGTTGTCGTGTCTCTCCTCCATGAGCAGGTCTGGATCGGACTTATCTGGTTTGTGCTGGTCTCTGTAGAGGCCCTTCTTATCTGTGGCCCAGCCAGGAGCTCCAGACCTGGGCCTGGACGCCCACCTCCTGTCGCTGGTCTGGTTGTTCTCTGTGGTCACATAAGACCTTCTCTCTGGAGGAGCCAGGCTCTGTGAGTCAGGAAGGTAGAGTCCTGAGGAATCAGAGAGACCGAGTGTGTGAATAAAAGAGGTTTTCATCCCTCACTTTTGCAGTTTGAGACGGTAAAGAGCCGGACACCTGCATGAAATAAAAGTAGTGAAATGATCATAGAAAGTTGAGTCTTATCTAAACCTTTTAAAATATAAAATATAAAATAAAATGGGTAACAAAACACCAACACACATCTCATCCAGCAGCACGGCTAGATGTCTTCACGTCTTTTTTTTCTACTACTTAAGACACGGTATATATATTTTTACTTACCCTCTAAGACCAAAAGAAGCAGACAATTCTTAATTTTAAACCTGGAACTGTCACATTTATTAAAATTAAGATTATCCTAATATTTGCTTATATTATCAGATTATAGCTCTTCCCTTGACATTTCAAATATTCCACCCCACTGAAGTTTAATTTGATTTTTTGTAGTTATAAAGTCATAAATAAACAACATTTTGGTTAAAGTCTGTATAAAATGATGCATTTGGCTTTAAGAACATTTCCAATACATTAAATAATTCTGCATAAAAAACATTAAGGTTGAATATTTCAGCCAGTATGAACATTTAATAACTTTAAAAAATGGCCATAGTATAAAGTCTAATTGTGCAATATCAGGATCAGATCAACGTCTTAGGTTATTAAAATTTGAAATCAAACCTCCAAACTTTTGCAAGCATCAAGACATAAACAATTTCCCAGAGTGCACCATGTGGCCAACATGCGTGGTCACCCCGTCATCCTACGCTTCCTGTGACAACAGTGAGCCTAACTTTCCTCTTCACAGCGGAGGGTGAAAGCATGCTTCACATTTTTCACACCAGCAGCTCAAGCACCCGGCATGTGAGGCCGGGCAGCAGTGGGTGTTGTGTTTATATTTCAGTCACATGGCAGCTCTGGTAAGCGCTCCACCTGTGAGGCAGTGTGACGTGGGCAGTGTGACGTGGGCAGTGTCTACATCATCTGAGGTTGATGTGCAGGTGTCAACACAACAGAGCAGTGTTGCTGGTAAAAATGAGTAGGGGGCGGTTGAGGGCTCAAAACTTAAACCAAAGCAGTGGCCTCAAATGTGCACATTTTGCAATTACTGTAGGAAACCTCCCTAAGTGGCCCCCCCCATCTGACAGCACTAAATCGTATTGCCCTGCTAAGCGTTGCATGCATTATTGCCGTGTAATCCAAAATTTGTCAAAGGAAGTCAACAAAGAAAAATGAAGAGGAATGATCCGTCGAATGGAGAGCGCTGGTTGAAGGGTGCCCACATTGAATTTCACCTGGGGCCCTGACCGCCTCTAGAATCCCACTGAAGTTGAACTCAGTCTTTGTTTTTTATTTCCTGCAAAAATACACTGTTAAGATTTGTTTATTTCGATTGTGATGTCAGGATAAGGAATAAAACTGTGATTTATTACACCTACTTCAGAGTCAGAGTAATCATATACTGTTCAATATAAATCAATTTCTGTTGAAGCTTTGCAAACTGTTTTTTTACTTTAAATAATATTATTCGGAAATTCTGTTTAAAAAATCATTACTACAGAAAAAATAATACGTTTTTCAAATAATAATATGCAAAAATATGATAATTAAAAAACACAGACAATTTACAAACACTTGAAGTCGGCTTATATTAATGTGTTATATTAAAATTTAAGTTTTTTTGTCCTAATACATGTGGATAAGATAGGAGGTTGGTTAGTTTACTGTATTGAAACATAACACTGAAGTATTAAAGTAATTCAAGTGATCAAATAAAAACAGTAAACACATTTATAAGATTATATGTAGCATTTACAATATAAACTGTACAAATGTAATGAGTAATTCAGTTTTTCTAAATAACATCTGACCCACTTAAGTCAGGGTCCTAAAAGAAGAAAAAGGTGTGTTTTTTTTTGATGACTTACCATAGACTGACTTCTGCTTCGTGAAGCTCAGGTGAAACTGGAAAACAATAAGCAGTCCTGTGATCAGGTTAAATGTCTTGGTCAGAGTGATCGCCATCCTTCCTCTTAGTTCATGGCACATCTTCAAGCTTCGAGACTTGGGTCAACTCATCAGGAGAACATTTCTTTTGCTGAGTTAGACAGCGAGCTGCAGTCCCTACTTTCATCAGTACTGTAGGAGTCGTCTTTGAGCTGGACTAGTTCACACTGACCTCTATGAGCAGCGGACTGTGGTGACTCTGAAGATGCACTGCGGTGAAGCCAGCCGCTCCTCGCTTTTACATGGTGAAGTGAGCCGCCCCTAAATTTGAAGTGCCCACGTATTCTGATCTTTACGGTAAATGCTCCGGACTCCAGGCGAGCAGCAGTAACAGACAGAGAGAGCGAATTTGACCCGTTATTAATCTCTTTTCCAGTCTTACCATAAAACTGGTACACGTGTATGAAACTGGAGCAAACAAAATACTGTTCAGGAATAGCTTCGGAGGTCGGTGAAATTAGTTTGAGAATAATACTGCGAGTCTGCGATAACTTTTTAAAAATAAGGTGTTCACAACAAAAAGAAAAACTGTTTTCCTGGGGAAAAAAATATAAAAAAATATGTTCTTCCATGAGTACACAATGATTCTGATATGGTTGGACTAAATACTTCTTAGACTACATGCACCGGTACTATGGAGTACTTTTACAATGTGTTCTTTTTGAGTAATCCACTGTCAAAGTCCCTTATAAATCACTATAATGAGTCTTTTTTTATGAATTTGATGTCTTGTAAAAAACACGTCTTCCATGAGTACACAATGATTCTGATATGACTATACCTAACACTTCTTAGACTACATGCATGGGTACTATGGAGTACTTTTACTGTGTACTTTTTGAGAAATCTACCATCAAAGTCCCTTATATGTCATGTTACAGAGTCTTTTTTTTCTGACTTTGATGTCTGGTTAAAACATTTTCTTCCGTAAGTACACCATGACTCTGATATGGTTGGACTTAGTACTTCTTAGACTACATGCACAGGTACTATGAAGTACTTTTACTGTGTACTTTTTGAGAAATCCACTGTCAAAGTTAGAGTTGATCTATGCCACCCACCATTCTGATAGGCTACTACACAATGTCTTCTGTTTCTGTCAAAAGAAATCAAAACAGAAACAGTCATCCTGAGAATTTTACTATGTATGTTAATGTGTTAATGTGTGGATGTGTTTTTCTATTGTTTTATTTATTGGTTTTAAAGGAAGAAGCTGAATGTTTGGCAGCACTTTGAGTATATTATATCATATCGTATCGTATCGTAAACAGTAGACCTGAAAAATAATAATCACCCTGGGACCTTTTGACTTTTTAATGCTTGATTATTAATTGTGTTCTTTTTCTCTGTGTTTATTCAGGTGGTAAGTATTTATTTTTATTCTCCTTTCTTCATATTTTTTGAGCCTTAACCAATTTAAATAAAGCTTGTTAATTTTTATCTAAATAAGTATATGTAAATATATTAAATATAATGTATATATAACACGATGATGACAATGGCCCACTCTGTGAATGTTTGAAATATAACTGCGTGGGAACCCAGGAGTCTTATTTATTTGAAAAAGGAAACAGTGTTCTATTTATGTTAATGCGTGAAAATTAAAAACCTTAAAAGAACTTTAAAGGCTTTATATGCGATTTTTTACACTTAAATATAATATAAATCAAGTATATCCTCTGAAAATAACTCTGAGTCATCTGTCTACAATGGGTGTAACACCCGAGTCCCACTGTCTGTGATGTTTTCAGAGTTTTATCTTCAGTTTGTTTACATCGCCGGGACGGCCGGCTGACTCCTCCCCTCGCGTATAAAAGTTGTTTAATTGAGGGACTAGAGAAAAGAAGAATAACATACTGTACTCACTGCTTAACTGTGTTTCTAGATCACGCTCATTTCAGGTAAATTTACATGCAGTGTGAAGATACGAGCACAATAAAGATCGCTAGCATTAGCATGCTAACACAACAATGCAGCACGAGTTGTTTTGGTTTCATGCTGGAGCTCAAGAGCGACATCTGCTGGATGAAAAAATCACATATAAGCCTTTAAAAGAAGCCTAAGCAGTCATGCATCTGTAGTGTACATTATATTCACCTCTGTTTTCCCGTGATGACTTAATGTGTCTGTAACGACTGTATGTTGGTCCCTGTGCTGTTTGTCCCTTCTCCCCTCCCGTTGTCTCCAGCTCTGCACAGGTGAAGCCAATGATCAATCAACAAGGTTACCTAGCCTCAGGTGTTGTTTGGAGACTTTTGGAGCGGAGGCTGCTGACCTCTGACCTCTCATTCAGGGGTTGTGTGTTGTTGCTTTAGTCCTTTGTAAACTATTTATTTATGTCTCATAACAAATCCCTTTTTGAGTGCTAAATGTTTTGTAGAAGTATCGTGCTTTAAGGCAGCGGTTCTCAACTAGTGGGTCGGGACCCAAGAGTGGGCCACGGAGCTGTTTTCAGTGGGTCGCGAATGTGTGTCTGGAAAAAAAGTGTCTAAAAGTCCATGTAGTGCTTTTAAAATATGTTTGTTTTGTTCCGTCTCATGTTTCCCACCGTCTCAGGTCCAAACTGCTCGATCTTTCATGAAATAAATCTCATTGTTTAAAAAATTACAGACATTCAGACTTCCCATGAAGGAGTTGGTGGTGGGGAACCACTGCTTTAAGGTGTTCCACATGTTTCTGTGGGTCGTTGTTAGACCCCGAGGGGCGCCTCATGGTGGGGCGTTACAGTTTGTATTTTTTTTAATGGAGAATACTGAAGAACAACTTTGTGAACAACTTCAACGATATTGAAGTGATGGATTAGAACAGTGTGGCCTCTTCTACTCAGCATGCACACACCAGTTTGAAAAGTATTCATGGTTAAACCCCACCATCTCATACTGGGGGTGGTGGTTTACATTTCATATTGTGTCCAGTAGGGGGCGTCATTGCATTACAGTTCTCCTCTCCAGCAATGAAACTGACTGCAGATACTCCACAGCATTTCAAATGTTGGATTCTTATCAGTCCTTTTTTTTAAATAAGCTTCATCGGATATGTGAAAAGTAACTTTTTGTTTTATACATTTGCAGATATTTACATGAGAAGTCACAGTACATAAACATTTCATAGGTAAAGTCTATTATAGAACGATCCCACATATTCTTTAATAAGGTTAAGTTTAGTTTTGTGTTTTTAATCCATGGTTGATTTTCACCTTTATGATGTAATTCTGTTACTTCAAAGTGTTCATGGCATTATCATGATCATGTATGTGACACATGAAAAAAAAAAAAAAACGCTATAGAATAAACCTTTAATCACAGCAATAGATGAACAATATTTGAAGGATTTCTGCTGAAAGCACTCAATGATGTGATGTGTTGTATATGGCAAAAAACATATCTCATCTAAGCTGTGCTTCCTTTATGGATGAAGTTCAATGTGTCGACTTTACCTTTGCATGGTTGTGTGATAAAAGCTTCTGATACACAAAATAGATTCTCAAGAAACAGCTTCTGAAGAAACGGCTCAGCGTCCGACGACACCTGTAGTAAGAGAAAAAGGAGAAAGACGGGCAGAGCCTCTTCATGAACGCACCTTGCTGCATTATTTACAGCACTATTTTATTTGATCTCCATATGATGGGCAGACATCTCAAGCTGAAGGCGCCACACACTCCTCGTCGCCGGGGGCCTCGCATAGCAAAAAAGACCAAGTGCTGTCGGTTGATCACAAAGTCCAAAAAAAAAAAGAAAAGCTACTTAGTATGAGTTTCTGGATTAGAAAAAAACAAACACAAGAGACTAACATGTAAAAACAGTTTCTAGAACCGGAAAGACCTCAAAAATGACAACATACCAGCTATGTACAAAAACATCAATAATATATTTATATATATATATATTTATATACTTTTTTTTTTTTTAATCTTCTAGACCCACTAAAATATACCAAAGAAGCAGCTATTGGTCAATCTGAGGAACTCGTTCACCAACGTGTTTTTTGAAAACAGTTTAAATATCCTTCAGCTGTAAATGTGAAAACTCAAAGAGAGAAAAAACAAAGAAAAGACAGGTGAATCAGTTTAAAAAATATATAACCCTACAAAAGTCCTGTGTTCATCCTGTGTGCCATTTTGGAATACTGCAGAGTGTGAGGAGGTAAGCCACTTCAACCAGCTTCTCCAGTGGATCAGAAGAGTTTGTTCGAGGATGGACCGTTTCCTAACCACCCGACAAAGAGTTCCCGAAGTCTTTGATTTTCAGTTTGTCATTACCGCGCGTACAAAGATTCAGACAAAAGTTCAATGACAACTGATGGAGGCAACAGACAAAATAGAAGGGCACTTTTTCTTTTCTTTTTTCTTTTTCCAAAACTTAGCAACCGAGGGATGAATCCTTGGGTTGGATAAGGAGTCGAGAGAGGAGGGGGGGGAGGGGATTGCAGTCTGGACTTATGAGGGGACAGTGGGTTTAGCAGCCGTCTTGTTTGTCAAGAGTTTGTTTCACAGTTGAATCCATTAATCCACCCAGTCTAGCAAACTTTGCAATATATATATACAGTATATAAACTACAATCATGGACAAGAGACAAGGGAGGTTCGTCCTTAAATACAAAAAGTGTCGTCTGGCATCCATGTTTGGGCGTGCTGTAGTGTGTGTTTGTGGCATCGGAGGAGAAAAATAAGGTCCTGAGATATGCACTGAGTGGCGTCTGGAGAGAGAGTGATAAAAGTGTGATCTCTATAAAATGACAACGAAAAACAAAAATATATATTTTTAATCTATAGCGACATGTTTGAGTAAAGGGGGGCGGGGGGTGTTAGGAGGGGCTGGACCGGGGTAGGGCCAGTATTCGTCCGTTGGTCTTTCCCCCGTTCATGTGTGTGAAGGGGATGTGGTGCTCCTCGTAACTGCCCCTCAGGCCCATGGAGGAGGCCTCGTCTCTGTCCAAACAGTGCTCCCTCTGGGAGTACGATGACGGGTCCAGTGGGATGCTCTCCATGTTCTCCATGTCCAGGTCAAAGTCCTCGCTCTCCGGCGGCTTGTTCTCCTCGCTGTAGAAGAAGGACACCTCCTGGAAGGAAGGGTGCAGGTCCTCGCGCAGCATCTCGATGATCTCCTGGAAGGCGGGACGCATCTTGGGGTTGTACTGCCAGGACATCTGCATCAGGTTGTGTCTGTGTGAGGATACAGGGAGCGTGAGATCACAGAAGAAATCAGCATTTACAGTGAGGTGAGGTTGGATCCAGAGAATTGAGGGGATTTATTATTAAAAAAAAATAACTTTTATGAGCTCTAATGGAGATGATAAACCACCAGTGTGACTTTCAGCTTTGTAAATGAACTGAACAGTGAGGTGAGCCTGAAATTATTCACAATTCATTTCTCTGATTGTATCAAACCACCGCCCTGCTCTTGTACTCACAGTCTGTCCGCGCAGTTGTCCGGCCGGTCCAGGAAGCCCCCGTCCATGACGAACTTGAGGACCTGCTCGTTGGACAGGCCCTGGTACGGCTGCTCGGCCAGCGTGCTGATCTCCCACAGCACCACCCCGAACGACCTGGCACACAGGCGAGTGAGAGAGACAACAACAGAGACGAGGGGGAGAATGAGGACACGCCAATTAAGACACCTGACAGAGTTAATCTGTTGGTAAACACTTGAGGCAGAGAGCGGGTGGACTGAGGGCAGAGGCAGCAGGGGAGAGATGCTGGTAAACAAAGTTAGCCATGAAAACAGGTTAGCGGCGCACACGTGGTCTAGTCCTAAAAGCTCTAAAAAAAAAAAAAAAATGGAACTAAACAGAAAAGAATTGGCCTCTGGAAGAGCTTTGTTGATCAATTATTCACAAATATAGATAGATTTTTTTTTATGAAGGCTACGCTAAGCCGGGACACATGAGCTTTTATTTCATTCCTTACATCATCTTTTACATGCTGTATGATTAACAATGACGGCACATTTTAGAAAACATCCTCCTGACTCCCAAAAAACACCAGAGACGCCCCCCCCTCACTCTCCACCTTAAAGAAATACCCAAAAACCCACCTCTTAAACATACAACCTCTATCAAACTCTGTGTTCTCATCCTCCCTCTCTTTGACTATTTCTTTGTTGTATTTGTTATTATTTTAAACCCTGATGCCTTTACATTTAATACCTTAGCTGCTCCGTTTTCCTTCTTTTTTTAGAGACTGATTGATGCAGACTTTTATTTTATAAACATGCACAGCAATCAATCAATCAGTTCTTATTATGTAGCATTAATACATAACAGCTGATATCTAAGGCTCCTTTATGTAAACAGCGAGTCTGGACTGTACATCTTATTTTCTAGACACTAAACCGTGCACATCAACATCAATCTGCCCCCGCACTCAGTATCTGAGGTGTCACTGACCAGCAGTCTGAATTTGCAGTGAAGACTCCGTCCTTCAGAGACTCGGGGGCCATCCACCTGACGGGCAGCAGGCCCTTCCCTCCCTTCCTGTAGTAGTCGGTCTCGTAGATGTCTCTGGTCATGCCGAAGTCTGCAAAGGTAAAAGAGAGTCGGGCGAGTGAGAGGGCTTCATATTCATATATTCCACAAATGTTTCACTGCTGTGTGTACTTTGAGAAGCTGAAGGAATAGATTCATCTTGGTTTGAATGCTGTTGTTGACTTACAGTAAAGGCAGTGTAGTTCACTTGTTGTTTCTAAATGGAGTTACCAGAATGTAATGCACTGTGTGAGTTTAAATGCAGTTGATCTATAGCAGCTGTGTGAAAACTTGAAGCCAGGAGGATAAATCAAATCTACTTTTACAGCTCTGTCAGTGATATCAGAGTGCATCGTCTGTCAGTCTCTATGACAACATCACTGCCTTTTAAATCATTCAAACCTTTTTATTGCATATTGAACTTTGATCTAAAAAAAAAACAATTTAGAAAAACACAAACAATAGACTCCTACACAAAGGCTCCCTGACACAACACGAGAACAGAACAGTGTCCTAAAGCTTCCTTTTATAAACGTTCACGCTTGTCCTGCTGAGAACTTACCTCCTATTTTGACAGTGAGATCGTGAGCGACCATGCAGTTTCTGGCTGCCAGATCTCTGTGGACAAACTTCTTGGCGTTAAGGTAAGCCATGCCGTCTGCGATCTCAGCGGCCATTTGTATCATCTCCTTCAGAGTGGGCGGTGGACGCCCGGGGTTGTTCTGAAGGACACAGGTTAAGAGCTGATTTAGATACTGTTTAACATATGACCTGAAAGGCGTCTGATCCAACCTTCACAACAGGGTCCTAAGTCTCTGACTAGACTCTTCTCCTCTGTTGCCCCCCGGTGGTGGAATGAACTTCCAAACTCCATTGGATCTGCAGAGTCCCTCTGCACCTTTAAGAAAAAGCTAAAGACCCAGCTCTTTCATGAATACCTACTAACTTAATGACGATGGTCTCGATATTATTGATGACGATGATGGTTGTGACGATTGTTTTTGTTTGATAACGATGACTTATAAGATGGTTTCTATACTGATTAGAGCTCTCAAGAACTGCCCTCAATGTTGTGCTTTGCCTCTGGTCACTTCCTGTCAGCACCTGTGTGTCCAATCAGACTCAAAGCTGATCGTTTGCTCTTACTGACATTGTTCTAGATCCTTGCTTGTGTTGTTCTTACTCTCTGATGTACGTCGCTTTGGATAAAAGTGTCTGCTAAGTGAACTGTAGATTTCATACATCCCACAGCATAAAGAAACATTACAATTAGAACCATTTTTGCAACACTTGACTATGAGCAGCTCAGCAGCTCAAATGTTCTCAATCTTTTGGGAAGCCTGCTGTTAAACTCCAAACAAGACGTGTTTCCTGATGACTTAGAGGACGACTGCTCAAGTCTTCTGTCAAGAACTCACTCCTGCTCCTGTTCCCACCACAGAGCCATCTGCATGTTTGCACACTTCACTGGTTAATCATCTGTACACATATCAAATATAAATACACCATGGCATTTTTTTATAGTGCACATTGTTGAATGGGAAAGGTGCGGCAGGTCTGAGTCTTTGTCACATCGCAAATAAGTCAATGACAGGTCTCAAAGTCCTTAGTGTGTTTTAAGTACATGTAGTCGATGTGATTAAATCAAGAATCTGAGGAATGTGGCTTGACAGAAAACCACAGATTGAGTGAAATGTGTCAGGGGAAGAGTCCGCGTTTACTTATTGTGTTCACTGTTAGCTTGTTTCAATATTGATGGATTTAAGTTGTTCAGTGTTTGTACATCTGTGACGACGCTTCAACCCAGATAAGAGTTTGGGAACTGCAGGGATTTGACAAAGAGGGAAGTGAAGTGCGTTTATAAAAGTATTGTTTTAAGTGTCAGAGGAGCTGAATGTCGTCAGGAAGAGAAGCAGACGATTGATTGAGGGAGAAATAATGTGAATTCAATGTCAAACCACCCCAAAGCAAAAATTATTTCTGACTTAGGGATAGAATTAAAATATCAGAAATGTCTATTCTAATAAGAGAAATGCATCGATTGGCTTCTTTACACTTCATGTAGAAATGTAACGCAGAAGAACATGACTGAAGAGTTTCTGTTCAGTTCAACCATCAATGAAACATTCATTCACACACTTGAGATTTGAGTTTGTGATTCGGGGGGATGTGAGCTGTTACCTCAGAGTCAGGTCTCAGAGAGCGCAGCCAGCTCTTCAGGTCTCCGTGGGTCATCAGCTCCATCACCACCAACGTGGGCTGACCTTTAGACACGACTCCCAGCAGACGCACCTGGGGAAGACAAGCAAGAGGGAGGTTTTGGTTTTTGTTTTCAATTCAGTTTGTTTAGAGTATGCACAAAACGGCTGAGGAAAATAAGCTCAACACATTCAGGGTATCGATTGTTTATCTCGCTCTACTGACCCTCTCATAACGGAGATCAGGCTGCTCAGAAAACTGACAAATCAACGCAGAGTTTCTATGAGCGAGGGCTGTGTTGGCTTCATAAAAAAAAAACCAAGCTTGCCTACAGCAGATCGTCATGTTTCTCAAACTCAGAGAAAATGATGATAGCAAAATGTGAAGAAGATAAAAGCCTAATCTTCACTAAAGTAACCACAGCTGCAGACACAAATTCAGGAAGAACTAGCCGCAGAAAAAACTATCCCCAAGTGTGGATGCGGATGTTAGGATTTAAGATATCACTCCGACAACATTAGTGCATCATCGACCTGTTTTTCCCATAAATGTAATTACTGCTTTTCATGCCGTGTTTGACGGTTTTAATGTGAACAAACGGAGACGAGGCGAGCTGATAAAATGAATGTGAAAGCAGAATTGAAAAGTGTTCTTAACTGGTTTGTATAACCAGTAAAAGGCTTCACAGTTTAATGAGTCTGTTGTTGAAAAATACATTATTTGGCTGATCTCTCTCTCCCCCCCCCCCCCCCAGATTGGTCAGCTTGTGTTTTCCTCGTATCCAGGTGTTCAGCATTAGTTGCTATGGCGATCTACCCCAGAGGGAAGTGAACCATCTCCCTTGTCCTGACTACACAGAGTTAAACCTGATGTTTCCTCGCTCACTTTAAACCTCTGCTCTGTAGCTGGTTTCCTTTACTAAAGGTCAGGTATTTGAACACGTTGGGACATTATGAACAAACTGTTCTTCATGTGGGTTTGATAATTCATAGGTATGGTTCACTGACTCACACACTTCCTTAATCTTTAAACGATGGTCAATATGAATCACTAATCCCACAATGCACTCTGTTTGTGTGTTCAAGGAAAGCCTGATGTCTCTTCTTACCACATGGTGACAGTTGAAGGCCTTCATGACCGAGGCCTCGTTCAGGAACTCGATTCTCTCCCTCAGGCTGGCCGACTCGTTCACCGTCTTCACCGCTACCCGCGTATCGCCCTCGCCCTTGATGATGTCCTTGGCGATGCCCTCGTACACCATGCCGAAGGAGCCCTGGCCCAGCTCCCTCAAGATGTTGATCTTGTCTCTCCCCACCTCCCACTCGTCCTCCTCGTACACTGCAGACACATTTCAGAGAAACAAACGCACACAAGAAGACACAGGTTAGTCGGGGCAAGAAAACTGGATTACTGGATAATAAAACTCATCAGTAGTCAGATTTCTTCGATACTCCTTAGAAAGCTGGCTGTGGTTTTAAGTAAATTCAATCCTTAAAGAAACCAACTTAATTTGAGTTTGTTTGCTTTTCGTTGCCTGCAGCAGTTTAACTTAAACTAAGAGGAAGAGGGAAGCGCGTGTTGTCCTCAGTGTGCCAAATGTTTATTTGTGGACATCCACTCAGCCTTCACATCCACAAATCAAGTTTCCCAGTCTGAACAGAGTTTCTCAGAATGTTTTGACCAGTTGGTGGAAAACTGCATTTGTTATTTAAAGAAGTTAAGTTACTGCTGAAATAAACAAATGCAAATAAACTGATTCCCCGAGTGTATATAATGGAGTTCAAATTAGACAGTTATGTCGAGGTCAGACTACACGTTACAAACACGATATTAGCCTGATCCAGCAGCGAAGGGATTGGGGACCAGTCGACCCTGGAAACGGATCGTTTCATATCATGTAGTGTCATAGTGAGCGACAATCAAGCTCACTTCTGAGACGCCTCACAACCTCCCGACAGGAAGTCTAGCATGTTGGATTTTTCTCTCTGCTTTCTATGACGTGTTCCCTCACAGCAGTGATGTTGACCAATGAGAGCACAGAGCGCAGTAGTCACCAGTGTTACCAAACAAAATGGCGACGCCAAAAAAGAATGGTGAAGTTGATGCTACGAGATGGAACTATGAGACAGAGGAACATATTCGGTCCTGACGATTGGTCAGGTACCAACGTGTGGTCTGTCATGTCTCTCCTCCAAGTCACGTCGTGAATGTATGTCTGTGTGACCGTCTGATCTGACACAGTTACCATGGTAACAGACAAAAATATTTTGTAGTCTGACCTCAGCGTTAGGGTGCTAACATGGAATTCATCATAATAACAAAGTGTTTAAATGAAAAAGTTCTTCAAGGCTGTTTGTAAGTCTTTGGTTGCCATGGTTACCATAAGAAAACGCAGTGATAATGGTTAATATTTTCAAAAAGTCAGGCGCACATAACTTAAATAATTTTCACTAAACAATTTATTTTAAATTCACCAGATATATAATAATTTAATTGTTATTTCAACATGAAATGTTTCTTGAGTTGGCTTAAATCTAAACTATAAATCAAGTTTCATCTTCTGTATTATTGATCAGGTCTTACCGTCATTAGCGCTGAGATACTCCGGGTTAGAGGAGGCGTAGATGGGACCACTTGGTCCTTGAGTTTGACTAAAGAGAAGTGGACAAAAATTATCAAATAATCTCACTGACAACGATTGAAAACAAACTAAAAGCTTGAAGGCATCGAGCTGGATTTAAGAAGTGTGTACCTCTTTCTGAAGATGACGAATCCAGCCGTGGCCATGCACAGCACCAGGACAAAGCAGAGGATCGGCCCGATGATGATCTTTACGAAGTAGAGAGGATCGCCTGCAGAACAAGTAAAGGATCACTATGCTGATACTTGTATGTGTAAATAATAAAACGTGTATTTCTGGATTTTAGACCTGATGTCCAAGTCGTAGCTTTGTTTCCTTCATAGCAGACGGAGACTTACTTGCGTCCTGGACGTAGAAGTACGTGGGATCAGTCCAGGATCCGTTCCCTGCCAGCGAGGTGGCCCGGATCCTCACTGTGTAATTCCCAGGATGCATCACTTTCAGCTTTGCGCCCCGGGTCACTTTATACATGTTCCTCGACACGCAGTAGTGAAGCTCCTGCAGAAAGAGGAACACTGAGGATTAGCGCTGGGCTTTCCTGAATACTTTCAAGCTTTAAAATAACATCGTGCGATACTATTCAGTCACAAAGTAAAGACTGTGCCGAGATTTATTTTATTTTTTGAGTTTTTCATTTGCTGTCCGAAGAAAATCACAGACTGCCGCACCAGCCAAATGTTTTGTTGATCTGTCTCCATAGCAACTAAAACATAATGCAAAGCCTAAATGACGTCTCCGTTTAGTGGTCAACCTCTCTCATTAGTGAGGCCGTAAGGCTTCATTTGAAACTACATTTGCAGTCATAAGTATTGCCTCTTATTTGTCTGTGCAGCATGTCTTTCATTCCCAGGCTCGGCCGTCGAGTTTAATGAAGAGGAGAAGTATTCAAAGTGCTTTCTGATTACCAACGAGCGTCTGTGTTATGTGTTGTAGTGAACTTAAAGTGAACTCATGCACCCAGTGACCCAGCCCATCAAATCCCAACACTAAAGCAATAAAGGCAGAGCAGAGGGTGTGTGTGTGTGTGTGTGTGTGTGTGTGTGTGTGTGTGTGTGTGTGTGTGTGTGTGTGTGTGTGTGTGTGTGTGTGTGTGTGTGTGTGTGTCCTTACCTCTGAGTCTCCCAGTCTCTTGTAGTTGACCTCGTACAGGATGATCATACCATTAGGGGCCGCAGGTTCCTGCCATGAGATCAGCACTGTGTTCTCTGCCACGTCATAATTGATTGGACCAATGACGTCATCGGCTTTATCTGCAGGTGTCAATCACATTATTTCATGAGTGACATTCTTAATGAAACCCCAGGTCTGTTTGGATTTAATCTAAGATGAGATGTTTGCTGTCTGATTGGCTGAATCATTTACGTCTATGGTGAGGTCGGGCTACAGGTTATATTATGTTTTTGCAACATGTCCCTTCTACATCCAAAAGAAATACATATGTATTATTCATATATATTCCAAGAATCTAAGGCGTCCATTTCAGCAAAGACAACAAAAAACAAACAAGGAATTAAAGCCCAAAAGACAAAAACAAGACACCTCATAAACCCCTCAGTAAACCATGCTCCTAAAAAAAAAAAAAAAAAAAAAAAAAGGTTTTCCCAGAGTATACAACTTGTATGTTTCCGAGCAAAAGAATGAGAATCCTATAAGAAACACAAACACTATATTGTTTATATATGCTAACCAAGCGCCCACATATTGAAAAATAAGAGAAGGGGATGAGTAGCCACAAATGTTAAATTAACAACATCTCCAACTTGAGATGGCTTGGACCCTTTAAAAAAATAAAAAATTAATAAATAGTTGACTACACAGACCAACATTCTTCCGACCCTTACCTTCAGGCATTGTGCGGGCACTGACATACGCCGCCATGCTGCACCGTGCGGCGTCAGTCGGGTGGTTGCAGGCGTGGATCTCGATCTGGTAGCTGGTGAAGTGGCGCAGGCTTGAGATGACAGTGGACTCCTTTGCGTGGACGGTGACGACAGACTTGGAGTTTTCAAAGTTTTCCTCGTCCTCGTCCGGGCTGCCTGTGCCATGGGTCGGGCTCGGGGCGGTGGTGAGGAAGGGGTGTGTTCGATTGGCGATGCCCATCACAGAGCGCCGCTGTCTCGAGCGTCTAAAAAGGAGAAGGCAAGTTTAAAATATTTGATATGACAGAAGAAAGATGAAACACTCCCAGAAGGCAGATTACACTGCCAGCTTCATCTTTTAACTTTTAGACATGTGAGAGAAGCAGACTTCCAACAACCCTTTTCACATTACGCACAAAACTCTGGATAATAATAATAATAATAATAATAAGTTAAATTTATATATTGCCTTTCAAGGAACCCAATGATGCCAAATTCCCCATATTTCTGGATGGGCTGCATGTTTAAACACAAACAACCACCATTTTCACCCCTTCTTTATCCAGACTTGTAACGCCCGGCAACCCTCCTAGTAAAACTTATCTCAGAGGTCTGGGTGGGCAGATGTGTGAACACAGTGGGTAATATTCAGGAAAATTCTCGAGTGGGAGGAGGTGACGACGTATCACACCCTGAGAGATCTGTGTAAACTTCCTGTTGCTCAGTCTGCCATCTTGAATAGGTTGTAAACAGCATACCGCTGCAACCCTTTTTGCTGTATGCCCTCCCCCCTAAGACCCCCCCCCCCCCGTCCGAAAGGGAACATTTTCTGCTGTGGGGGAAGACCTGTGTGAAAGAGCAACTCAGGAAGCTTTCAGACAGCAGGCTGTCCTGAACCCATCAGGAGTGCATGTGTGAAAGGGGCTGAACATTCATCCATTCACACGTGAGTGACCAGCTGTGTGATGATGAGAACAGAGTCGAGCTTCCACTGTCTCTCTCTCTCTCTCTCTCTTTTATTTGCTACACAAAAATGTCACACATGGGACAAGATCTGGATTTGGATTTTGTGATCCCTGAATGATCTCATGTCTCCCCCTCTGTGACCTCCACTTTTCATCAGGCCTACAGTGTGGATGTATGCATCAACTACAAGTACACACTTTTTAATCACTAATGTGGTCCAACATGTCGTTCTAACTTCAAGTTTTCTCATAAAACCCGACCCTTATAAAGGTTTTTTGATGTTTTTGTTGCAAGTAGAAAAAAAGTTTTTGGTATATTTTCAGTTTTTTATTCTTTTTGGTCTTTCCATGCAGCTGCAAGGTGATTGGTTCTGCACTTTTTTCCCCCCTTTTGCATCCTCTTAAACTTTCTTTAGTCTCAAAACTCGTGCTACTTTTTTTTTTTTATGGAGCGTTCTTTGCATGATTCAAATACCAAACAACACATGGTTCAAAGAGGCCTCATCTGTTGCACTACAGTCAACACTCAAAGCAAAGGTGAACTTCATTAAGATAACAACATGGAAACCAAGAGAAGAAAAGCATTTAGTCTGACTTGTTTGAAAACTTAAGAAGTAACTCTCCTAACGGCACGATTAAAGAAACAAGAAGTTTTAAAAACAAACTACAGTTTTGTACATTTTCATCTCATTTGTCTTACTTGAGCTCAAAGACTTCGTTGTGAAGGTAATTCTCAAAGGTCTTCCGGTACTCCGAGTCCTCTTTCTCCTTCTTCAGTTCCTTGTCGGTTTTGGGGCAGGCGCAGCATCGCGTCCCCTGGCCCTGCTCCTCCGTCTGGTTCCACTTCTGCTCCTCGTCACTGTCGACCTGTGTGGGAACCCGAGACGGCAGCTTCATCCCTGATGAAAAGAAAAAGAGAAAAAAATAGAGAAAAAAACAAAAACACAGTTAATCAGACAGAATGGGGTAACAGGTGGGATAAACACAGACACATTAGACAAAAACAATCACACAGACATCCTCCCACACTCGTGGCTGAGGGGCACGTCTGTCATCGTCACCCTTTCTGCTGGAGATAAATTACAACATGACCTCCCTGCAGACTCCCATCTCTTTCTCTGGTGTAGTGGAAAAATACTATCTGTCTGTTGTCTTCGTTTGACCTTAAAAGATTAGGATGTTCGTGTGTCATTTAGCAATTAGAAACTGTTTCTCTGTATGGCCTTGGTCTGTATCTCCAACAGGAACACTCCTCAGGATCTGGGTACAGCATGACCCTAAATCAGTGCCCTCCTGACAAAGGAGTTTCTGTTGGTGTTCCTCCAACTTTTTACTATATACAATAAAATACACAAAGACAAAAGACTTTGACTTGAGATCTTTCATTACCAACAGAAAAATCCACAACACTGGTGTGTGTATGTGGGAGTTAAAAAGAGGAACGTTTGGGTTGGTTGGGTGCTAATATGGTAGGGCATGGATGGCAGGGAATCGACGTAGGTCATGCTGTGACAGGAAATAATTCATCCATATTAAAAGGTCTGAACTTTGTCTGAACCCGCGTCAAAGCAGGAGGTCGATCTTGACCGTCTCATTGTCTTGTCTCATTGCTAAAATTCATTTAGTTTGAGCTACATAACAGTCCCCTAACAAAAGATTCACCTTTACTGCAATTGATGTTTTTTTTCTCAATGGTTAAAGAGCAGCACTCAGCCTGTTGGAGAGCACGGCTCAATTCACAAATGGCTCACTGGGGTTAAAACGCACTCGGAGATAAAACTGGTCCACAAATGGCTTTGTCCTTTTCTGTCCAATCCAACCTCTCTTCCTACTGAGACACAACAAACCCTGTTCTTTTCACACACTCCTATTGTCATGTCTTGAGTTGTGATATCAATGTTTTTAACAGCGAGCTGAAAATGACAACAGCTGAAACCTGGAATATGTATTAATATTATAACATGTGAGGTCATCAAGCTTACAGCAAACCTTTTATTCCTGTTCTAAAAACAGACTTTATGCCTTTAGTTAGATGTCATTTTTTATTCTGTGAAAACTCTGTGAGGTCAAAAATCTTTAAAAACAACTAAGCTGAGCGTATTTGCTTTTTGTCTCGGATTCGGTTGTATGTTTCCTTGAGTGTGTAAATGCATACCCGGCCAATAACGCTGATTCTGATAAAAAGCTTGTAAAGAAAATGAAGTACTTGAACATTGATCAGAAAGTGTGCCTGAGAAAACAGCAGCAACTTGAAATAGAGGAGTCTTTCAGGGACAAAAAGCTTTTCTGCAAATAAAAAGACGACAAAAGAAATCCTCACCGCGTCTGTCAGAAGGAACTCAGACACACAAAACCACAAAACACAAAAGCAGAACCACTAACAATGAAGCTCACCTTTCTGACAGTAGTCAAACTTGTAGAGCTCGCTGGCTTCAGGCTGGCGCTGGCAGAAGACCAGGTAGTGAGTGATGTTCCCATTGGGGTCGTTGGGAGGTTTCCACTTGAGGATGATCTGAGAGGAAGAGTTGGACGAGGAGATGGGGTCCAGCGGGACTGAGGGTTCTGAGGAGACATCACAGAGATGTCAGAAAGAGTCATCAAAATACATCTTAAACACTTCTCACGCTCAATCCTAATCCTGCAGACCCGGCATGTGCATTATTTAATCCTATGTTAAGACTTTGGACATGCATTTCTGGAGGCTGTGGTCCTCCAAGTGGACAGGTTCAAATCCAACCTGTGGCTTCTTTCACGCATGTCATTACCCACTCACTCACTCTCTCTCTCTCTCTCTCTCTCTCTGATTTCCAACTCTATCCACTGTCCCATCTCTCCAATAAAGGCAGAAAATGTCCAAAAATAAATCTTAAAAAAGAAAAAGACTGCAGACTACTCGAGAAGAGAAACAGAAACAAAGTGTTCTGACATTAAATGGAAAGAGTTTTTTTTGTATCCTGTGCATCCAGGTGTAATGATTGATCTTTGATTGCCGTAGACTGAGTAGACAGCTAATAACAAACGTGGGTTTTCCACTGCTGCAAGTTCAAAATGAGGTTAGCAGCTACATGTGGACTAGCAGTGGCAAGTGTTTATCTGATTGTCTGATGATCAGTCGTCTTCTGAGCAGACAGATGAATCAGATTTTCAAGTGGGAGGCGACGTAAGAGGGACTTGTCCTGGCCTGAAGTGGAGTAGGAGTGAAGAGGAGAGTGTCAGAAATATAACCGAGCAAAGATTTAGGTGTCGACGTCTAGAGTTCATACGGAGAGTGTGTGATGAGGAGAATAGATACCAGGAGGGAGCGGCGTGTGGGGATGTCACACAGAACCCTGAAGAGACACAGATCTCAGATTCTTTGTCATTTAGAGTGATTATGATGTCCCCGTCTCACGTCGCGACACACTGGTCCGACCGCATTGTCAGACTAGACTCATCAGAAACAGCTTATCGGTAATGACAGCTTTGCCCTTCTGACGAGGTACGACACAGAGCAGGAAGCCTGAGCGGCTGCCAGACGTGTAGAAAACAAGCCTCCCTTTTTTGACACCCTGCCTGTCTCTGCTGGAAGCCTGTTTCTTTGTGAGCGAGGGGTGTCATGTTTAATTTGGTTTATCGGAAAGGAAATGCAGATCGTGAAAAAAAGGGAGCCAGTTAGACGAGGAGTGATGACGACGGGCGCAAACTGCACACGACACACTCTGTGGGTGTCAAGAGTGCAATTAAGAAGGGAGAGATTTAGGATTGCTGCGTGACTGAGAGATGAAGACACCTTGTACGAGGCAAGCACCCTGTTGGTCAGAGGACCCCCCAGGCGAAAAGTCCCATCTGTCTTTCCTGTTCCCTGCTCTTCTGCCAAGGTCATTTAGACAGAAACCAGACTGACACTGAACTCACTGAAGCCACCAGTCAATGATAGTAACAGCCTTAAAATAGATCAACTCTCGCACAGGAGAAGGAAAACAGCTTTTACATTCTAATATTTAAAAAAAACCTTCACCGTTGGCGTCGAATGAACCCACGATGCACTCACAGTATAAGTCAGTCTTACTTGTGGCGTTGGTGCGGACATAGATGATTTTGCTCTTCGCTCCGTGGTGGACCTGGTGCTCGTCGGAGGCCGAGAGCTGGGTTTTCACCATGATGGCGTACTGCGTCCAGGGCTTCAGCGGCAGGATGAGGTAACCCGGTTCAGACTGCTCCCTGTCTCCGTCTGTGGCTCGACGCGGAGGGTCCACGTCGGCGATCACCCAGCTGTTGGAGCCGCAGGCGTCCTGCCCGTCGAACTCGGTTACGTTCTGAAAAGGTCTTTTTTTGGTGTAGAAAAAGAGAAAAACAACAAGCAGAAGACAGATTTGTTATATGTGGGCTTAAAATTATATTCAACAACAGACAGGAGATTGAGATCCAATTTGATGTCTTGCTTTTACTCGTCGCGTCAATAAAGGAAACAAGCCGCGCAAAACACAACAGAGACCTGAGAATTCTTTGAAATGATGCTGCGTTTTGTTGTTTTTGTTTTTTTAAAGTTATTTTTTTTGGAGCCTTTATGCCTTTATTGTACAGGACAGCTGAGGAGAGACAGGAAATGTTGGGAGGAGAGAGTGGGGGATGACCGCAAAGGGCAAAGGTCAGATTCGAACCCACAGCTGCTGCGACGAGGACTACAGCCTCTCTACATCGGGCATGCAACATAACCGCTAGGCTATCACTAAAATGATGCTGTTTTAAAAGGAGGAAACTGGCTGGTTTTAGTTTGTTTTAATCTCTGAAAGAATGTAAACAATGCACTTTTGAATGTGCAAGCTCTACTGGTGAATTAGTAAAGACAACAAATGAGATGTTCCCAACATACAAACAATGTTTCAGACAAACGACGACATCTACCTGCTCTTTATTTTTCTATTCAACCCTTCCTATCTCTAAAGTACTTTGGCATCTTAAACGATATTGTGTCTGGCAGAGATCCCGGTCTGATCGTCACAGAGGACACAAAGACTGACTTACGCTTCTTTGTAGAGCACCATAAAGCCCAGCAGGTCTCTGAAGTCTGGAGGCCAGAAGGGTTCCCACTTCACCAATATTTTATCACTCCCAGTTCGGATCACAGTGAACTTCAACACGTGGTTCTCACCTGAAAAACAACAACAACATTCATCAATTAAAATCAGGGAGAAGAGCATGAAGAGTTCAAGGTAAAGTAAGATGTTATGTTAAACTTATTATCTGTTACAGAGAGGTATCGCTGTTGTCTCAGAAAGAAATGTTTTTGTTATTATATGCAGGAGAGCTCCTCTCCCATTCAACTGTCAGGGTTCTTGTTTCGTTAGGGGGGTAGCAGAGTTTCATTTTGACCTTCAGGTAATGGACTACAGTCTGACACCACATGAGTGAAAACACATCAGTGAAAAGAATGTGAAGAAGCTGTCCTAAAACATCAAGACTCATCCACTCCCTTTACTCCTTTTATTTGCTTCCAAATAATAATAAGATTGGTTCAGTTTTTTTGATAAGGAAGGTGAAGCGGAGACAGAGAGGAGGTAGAGGAGGGTAGAAGGAAACTGTTGCGCTTCAGCCCCTCCACAAATGGAAGTCGGTGATCTCACCAAAGGACCCTAAACTTTCAAAACAATTCAGTGGACTCCTCTCCTCAGACTGGAGCACACAAATCACTTAATTTACTTAGGTTCAAAAGACTAAGGTGTTGAAGCACTGCGTCTTTCTCATAATCAAAGGAGTGGAGGGGGAGGACTTTGTTGCTGCCCTATGCGTCAGCCTGTCATGAGAATGACTATTTTGTTGATTAATTATGAAAACCTGCCAAACTCATAGAGCCGCTTCCCGCCTTCACCTCGTCATTGTAAGTATAAATCACACTGTGGGCTCCTCTTCAGATTGAATGACCTCAAACCTCAACACAAAAACCTGTTTTGTTCTCTGGAGGTTTTAATTATGCTGTTATTAAAGAAAGAACGTTAAGTAGCAGGGTGTCCTGGTTTTGGAGATCTGTCTGACACCTTCCACTTGACCTTATTAGTCCAACAATTGGCCTGGCTTTCTGCATCATAGTGAGCGAATCAATCTGCTCAGACAGATATCACGTAGCTGACCTTCATATCTGTCTAAGGGTTCTTCTTGTCGGAGGAGCCTTTATAACCCTAAAAGAAGACATGGAAATCTCACCAAAAGTCCAACAGAGAAACTTTAAAAACAAACTAAACCAATCAGGAAAAGGAACCGCAACACAGCAAAGCCCTCACACATGCACAACTGAACAATTTCAGGACAGCCTGATTTACTCTTTTACATATTTCTATCAGAGTCATGTTCTGGTTTCAGGAGCTGGACCCTTTAACAATCCTCTTTTAATGTCTGTATTGCACTTTGTGTTTTTAATGTGAGCTGTCTTTACTGTTTGAGCCGTGTCGAAGGAGAATTTATGTCCCTGTTAGGACAGACAATAAGGATTATCTATCCATCTATCTATCTATCTATCTATCTATCTATCTATCTATAAACATCGCCACCTCTCATACTTGCTCGCGTTTCTGGTAGAAATTACACTCGCAGGCTGGCAGGACATGTTGAAAAATGTGGCTGTTTGCATTCGCTCATGAAGTTCAAGCTGACAATTTTGGGGACATTTTCAAGGTTGCAGTAAAAGTGAAAAATGGGCTCAAGAAAGAGTCAGAAATAGACCAAAGGGTTCAAACAGAGCCGCGGTCATCATCTCTGGCAGCAGTGTTATGCATCATTATTTAATGAGTAGCTGTGGAGTAGTTTTCTACATTAATTTCACTTTAACTTTTCTATTGACATCCATATAGCCTCAACAACAACATCATTTTTCCTCATGGAGATTATTATTTTGTTTTGCTGCCCAATAAGGGCTGGCAGGGGCTCTGCTTGGACCTCCGTAAGTCAGCTCATATCCCAGATAAGGACTTCGTTGAAGCATCTTTTCCCCATTTATTTCCTCCTGTTAACCGTCTCCTTCTTTTTTTAAGACAAGGCTCTAATCTGTCTCTTGTGTGTTTTTGATAGACTCCCTGAACACACCCTGTCCCTGATCCTAAACTGAGATGGAAAGTACAAAACGGAGCACATCATCATATATCAATGTGTTCCCATGTTATACATTAATCTGCTCTGCTCTGTTTGTTGTTCCTGTGCCACTAAAAGCTCTGCAGGAAGAAATCTGCAAACATAGAGGAGCAGGAAATGACCATCATAACAAGAACTATGACTTTGTTTGCGTCTGTTCCAGGCAGGACTCTGTGTTTCCTGTTGCCACGGTAACTCTTACAACAACTGTCATGTCTTCAGAGCACAGGTTCTTACATGAGGCCTGGTCTCCGTTTGTCTTGGAGGCGATGTCGTTCTTGACCTGCCGCTCTTTGGTCCCCGTCACCCCCTCCATCTTGTGGATCTCGGACATGCAAAGTTTGGAGTTGTAGTGGAAGAACATGCGTCCCTGCAGGATGGTCAGCTTGTGTTTGGACCAGTCCCAGAGCTGCCGCAGGTTCTGGTTGTCCAGAGCGTAGAAGGAGTAATTCCTTGACAAAAAAAAAAAAAAAAAAACACACATGCAAGATTACAAGAAGATATTTTTCATCAAATGTACGACACTTTACTGTAAAAGATCTCCTGGAGTTACATGAGCAGAAAAACTATTTCAGCATGGTTAGCCTTCAATTTGCATCATGTGCCTATCTTTTGCCGTTTTTACAGTAAGTGTAGTTCATTGTGCTACAAACGGCTTCCTCCTCGTCTGCATGAAGCCTTGTGTATGATTTTGGAAAGTCTAACCAAAAACAGCCACCACAGAAAGACATTTTCAAAAGGTCAGTCCTTCCGCTTTTAACTCATAATTACAGGAGGCGGCTCTGACATGGCGAGGATGAGATGGGCTCAGAAGTCAAAGTCTCACCCGATTTCCTGTTCCTCTCCGCGAATAACATGGAGTTTACGGAAAAACGAGAGGGAGACGAGGGCGTAGGAACGCCGCACTGTCAGGTAGCCAGTGATCTCCTCCAGCTGGCCCAGGCTGGCCTCCAGTTCAGCAGCGATGTTGTCTACAAAGAACAAAAGACACAAAGCTATGAAGGAGACCTTTGAGCCTACAGCATGCAAACTGTACTCTGCAGTTTGTTATTTCACTATCACCTTTCTTCCTTATAAGGATAAGTCTAATAATAAGCTTATCCATTTATAGCACTCTCTACATAGCAGCTACTTTGCACAAATTCTTCATGTTAGATTTAATTCGCATCTGCACACATTTTATTCAAGAAAACGGAAAACTAAATAAATTAAAAATAGTGTCTGTTTTTTTTTGTCAAATAGTCGAGTCTGTGTGTAGTAGAGTCTCAACCCAACCAGTCAGGTCTTTATTTAGTTTATTCATAGCTGCAGCGTAAGGCTTCTCTGGCTGCAGGTTAGTTGTGCTCCTAATGGGCGGACAAAAAGCTACAGAAACTCTTTTGAACCTGCGGCTATGGCACTACTTAACAAAGCTAGCACAAGATGATTCACTTTAACCATGTAAGGATATCTTGAACTCTTGAGTGGTTGTCTGTGTAAGCACTTTGTCATGACCTGATTTAAAGGAGGATGTTTGTTGTGATGTATTCTGTCTGGATGTCTGTGAACTTTGAATTTGTATAGCTTTAAAGCTCACATATTATCCTCCTTTTCAACAACTTTAAATACGTCTCAGAGCTCCCTAAAACATGTCTGTAAAGTTTCTTGTTCTAAATCCACTCTGATCCTGTATTTGATCATGTCTATAAACTCCTCTATTTCAGCCCTGCTCAGAACAGGCTGTTTCTGTGTCTGTAGCTTTAAATGCAAATGAGCTGTGTCTGACCCCGCCCCCTCTCTGGAAGGACTTTGGTGCCTCGGACTCACGCACCATGCCCTATTGTTTACAGTGAGAAGGCAAACGCAGAGGGCAGAAAAAACACCTAGATGTGAGAGGTGTTACTGCCCTTTGTGATGTCATGAAGGGAAAATCTCCAAACAGCCTGTTTTCTGAAAAGTGGAGCAGGTAAAAGACGACGAAGAAGGACTTTTCTCATAATTGAGGGGTTTGTAGACAGACTAGAGACACATATTAGAGTTAGAATAACATAGTAAAGTGTATTTTACTTAATGTGACATTTAAAGTGTTGCTTTTGTCTTTGGAACGCTGAGCTCACATCTACACACATAAAAAGAATAAAGAAACCTTGAAACCTGACACCTACATTATACGTTTATTATTATTATTACTCTGTGAATATACATCTGTCTGACAATAATGTCTCTGTAGCAACTGTTTTTTCAGCAGTATTTTACTTTACTACATCAAAATGCTGCACACAGCATGTTTTAGTGTGATTGTGCAATTATCTGTGCACTTACCCTTCTATTCCTTAAGAATGAGTGTACATAATTGATATTAAATGATTAGTATTTACATTATAATATTTTATTCTTGTCAGTAATTTGTCTTTGCATTTTGTATCTATCCCACTTTAACACTTGATTTACTTTGAGCGGCTCTAACAACTCAATAAGCCCCAAATGTGTAATTATTAAGTTTATCTTCATCTCATCTGAATCTATTTTTGGCTCTTTTGACACAAAATCATTTCCCCCTTTCATTTCCCCCTTGAAGTGTTCCTTTACTTTGTTATTGTTGAGTAGACAAACAAAGAGGGTCATCACAGGTGAGGTGAAACGCCTGACATCATGTAACACAGGAAATGAAAAGAAGCTCGCTTGCGTTGGAGTTTAAAGGTCAGTCGTTCCTTTACGTCTCAGTTAACCTTTAAAAATCACAGAAATCCTTTATGATCCATGACTGTGATTCATGCAAAGCCCGAGTAGTTCAGGGAGGGAGAGCTCTGTGACTCAGAAAAGAAAGACGTAAAAGAAAGACAACAATATGTTCAAGTCGAAGTAAAGAAACCTCCTCTTATATAAGTGAGACTTCCAGTGACTTCAGTATTTCTTTACCACCTTTAGAGAAAGGTTTGTCACATGAATACATACTCTGCCCTATTGACTGTCATTTAAAGTCTAAAATAATGACACTATTACTCATATTTCTCCACCATGCTCTGATATGTTCCCCTTATGTAAGAAGAATTACTAATAATGTGACTCTCTGGATGTAAACATGCATTTTTAATGTGTTGATCTCAAAAATAAATGTTTAACAAAGAAGAATAACCTCAAGAGAGAAGAGTTGTTTTCCTGTTCACGTCTGATGACTGATGATGATTTATTTAATTGTTTATTTTTTTCACTTTTCTCTCTTTAATGTTTCTCGTATATTGATTTTTAGTTTCCAGACACTTGTTATTGTTTTGATCTCATCTTAATGCTCTTACAGATCTTCTTATTGTTTCTCTTTTTAACCGCTTATTTATCTTCTTACATCCTCGGACCTCTCGGTTTCTACCTAAGCTGCCTGGGTGGCAGTAGCTCAATCTGTAGGGACTTGGGTTGAGAGATTCACCAGTTCAAGTCCCGGTGCGGACCATATCTATAAATGGGTCTGGTAGCCGGGGAGTCGCCGATTCACTTCCTGAGCACTGCCGAGGTGCAAGCCACATTGGGTGTGGTTTTTGTTTTGGTTCTTTAACTCTTGGGGTTTTGTTGTTGGTTGTGTGTCTCTTCCATGGGTTGCCTTGTTGTTGTTGTTGTTGTTGTTGTGGTGGTGTTCTGTTGTTATTTGGGTTCCTCTGCTTTGTTGTCATGTTATATTCTGCACGTGTCAAAGCACTTTGTAAACCATTGTTTTTAAAAAGTTCTTTATAAATAAAGTTATTATTATTGTTCTAATATTTATTGTGGTTTAAACACTGGTGTTAATGACAGTTTGACCTTCTCTCTGCGTCCTTTGATCGCTTGATGTACTTTTCGATTCATGTGTGTCTTTGTTTTCTTACCTCGCTGCTAAACACATTTCTCCACAGGGACGAGGAAGTCAAACCTAAAGCTGAGTCTGTCATTCTAAACCAACGTGCTCCATTTCTTTATATAACTTTCATTCTTTTTGCATTATTAAATCCAACAAAGATAAAACTGATGCAAAACCTTCATATGCGATTACATGGTCTCAGTCATCTTAAAAAGCAATATTTATTTCATAATTTTGCTGTAAAACAAATTATATTTATCAAAAATCATGAAAAGAAAAGACTAATGGTATTTGCATGTTAACACTTATTTAGTTTGGTTTAAGGTGTGTGTTGCAGTTTGACTTCACTCAGTGTCACTTTGGCTGTTATGTCAGACTCTCTTTGTTCTTCTGTTGGTCCGTTGTGAACCGTTATCTTAGTGAACCAAAGAAAACCACAAAGACTCACTTCCTCCCCGCAGGTTGATGACCAGGCTCCCGTTGAGCACAGTGCAGCCTCTCAGAGCCTGAGCAGTCATGACCGAGTCCACAGTCTTCACACCCATACAGACCTTTGGACAGAGCCCGGCGCAGGGAGTGCAGTTCAGCCTAAAAAAAATAAAGGAAAACGAGACATGGTGATTAAAAGATCCAGACATTGTGTGCAGGATAACAATTGTGGGTCGACTGCTAAATATAAGAGACACTGAGACATATGAGACCTTCAGTTCTGAAGAAATCAAGTAAAAGCTGCTTTATTAGCTGCACTGTGTGGATGACTAAAGCATCGCTAAGTGAGCTTTACTCAACTTCACTGAAAAAAGGAACCACTCCAAACCCCTCACAAGCGCCTGAAACAACCCGACTTACATCATGTCTTTATAACAAGTCTCCTCTCATAACAGGTACATATGTTCACGGCTTTGTGTGCCAACCTTATTAACCTACTTCCTGGAAAAGCCATCTGTGCAGTCCCTACACTCATAACGCAATAAGTGCAAACTTTGATGATTTCAAATCCAAAGTGCACAGCAACCTCTGCAGAGTCTCAGAATCACAGAGCAGAGAGAAGAGAAGAACATCTCTGATCAGAGACACGTGCTGCTGCGGAAACGACGGGCACTGAGGCATGACCAGACAATGACGGGCTGTCGGTTCAGGGCTGCTGTTCTGGGCATGCAAAAGAGTATTTCTTTGAAAAGATAAAGCACTCATTTTTTACACATTTCACTCCATCTGGGATCCTAGTTTCACACATCTAGATGAAATGAAAACTATATCTGATACCACTCAAGCTTCTTCAACTTAGAAGCATAACTCTTGAAATGAATAGAATCAAAAAGGATCGCACAGTTTTCAAGAAAGAAATAAGCTGTAGACTAGAGACCAAATCCATGTTTGGAACCAGACGGTAAACATGTTTATTTGAACTGTAAAAATAGGAAATTAAATATGGAAGGATTGGGGATTCCTGCGGACACTCAAGGTACTTTTCTGCACTTCTGCATTGGCTTCATGTTCTAAAACCAGCGGTTGCAGATTGCCACAAATTGAGACAGTTGATCCCATTACGCTGACTTACACCAGCTTTCTGATAGGCTCTTATAAGTCAGGGTATTTAGAAACAATTCAAGCTCAACATTTCAGGTCCTCTAAAACAAAGCACTCCAGATGTAGAGTAGAGACAATCTGCTTCCTGTTTACACATACTCTCATGTGCTCAGTGTAAGAGGATGGTCATGTGTTGTGTTTATGTCTGATATGTAGGGTTCATTCTTCATCAGCACTTTAACAATCACCAGGCTAGAAAGTGCTTTTCAATTTTAAACAAATTCACCAAAGAGAAGTGATATCGAAAATTAAATATTATAAAGAAAAAAATGTTGGAAAGTGTCAAATGAAAGAAGAATGTGAGGCATTGTTGCTTTGTCAGCGTCCTGATCTATCTCGTGACCTTTTCCCCCCTCCTCTATGGTGCCACATCTGCACTTTCAGCCTAGACGCTTCATCCTCATGAAGCACACCACTTTATCCCCTGAGCACTTTCATTTCCACAGCTTACTTTGAAGCCAGCTGCGGGAAGGAGATGCCAAAAAAGAAAAGATGGGCCATAAGGGGAGCAGAAAAGGCAGCGGAATCAAAATGATAATAAAAAAAAGAGGTTGAGATGGGAGAACAGCAGGGTTCATCACAGGTGAATGGGAGCTTAAAGGTGCAGATTATAGGGATTAATGATCTAAATACCTGGCAAGAAGTGATCAAGTTAACACACTGAGAGGCTCCGAAATTTGTTTAAGCCTCAATGAAAGAGCTGCTGAGCATCAGACAATCACAGTCAAGCTAAACCTGTCCAATAAAGGCACATACATAAAAACACATGAATCTATTTCCAGCCTTCTCTGATGGCCTTTTTTCTGTTGATGTACACCAACAATTTTCCCTTTTCAAACAGTGATTGACTCAAATGCTCTCCCCAAGTGTGCAACATAATGATGCCTGAATAAAACAAAAAGAAAAAGTCATTATCACCAAGTAATGTGTCATAAATAATCCTTTCTGTACCTCACAAAGTTTGATCAGTTTGAAAGATGCGAGTTCAGATTGTGATTCAGCTTCTTTATAATCCAGAAGTTATGAAACCTGATTGATCAGCTGATTCAGGGTGTTTATAAAACTCCTTGTGATGAAAGTCCATCCTCTCCGTCTTTTGCCTGCTCCACTTTTCAGAAAATGTGTGCTCAAACAGGCCGTTTGGAGATTTTCCCTTCATGACATCACAAAGGGCAGTAGCCCCTCCCCCAGGTGGGTGACACTCCCACAGCTAGGTGTTTGTTCTGCCCTCTGAGTCTGCCCTCTCATCGTAAACACTAGGGCACGGTGCAAGAAAGCCCAAGCCACATCTCAATCCAGAGAGGGGGCGTGGTCAGGCACAGCTAATTTAAATATTTAAAGCTACAGACACAGAAACAGTCTGTTCTGATCAGGGCTGAAATAGAGGCGTTTATAGACATGATCAAATACAGGATCAGAGTGGATTCAGAACAAGAAACTTCACATTTATTTTGTGGAGGACCTCTGAGAGTTATTTAAACTTGTTGAAAAGGGGTATGATATGTGACCTTTAATGATATCAGAGATAGAAGTGCATGTTTTACTTAATTGTTTGCAAACTAAAGAAACATGTAAATAATGTTTGGTCACTGACTTATTGTATTGTATTTACTGTATTGTTGTTGATGCCGTTTTTTGTTGCTGTTTTTGTAATAATTGTTGCTGCATTCGAGCTGTGCTGAGTGTCTGAGCTTCCAGGCACACACACAGATCAACACTCCTGTCGTTGTCAGTGAAGGTGTGACACACACACACACACACACACACACACACACACACACACACACACACACACACACACACACACACACACACACACACACACACACACACACACACACACACACACACACACACACACACACACACACACACACACACACACACACACACACACACACACACACACACACACACACACACACACACACACACACACACGGTTGTAAATTACAGATGTGGAGAAAAGAGAAGAAACGGGTCACGTCTAACCGTCTGCCTATAGCTCGCCAACCGCAATGCAGTGGTTGTAAAGAACCGTCAATTTAGTACAGTGCGCGAGCGACAAAAAAATGCAGCAGATAGACTCTGAGTCAAAAGCAGAGGCTGAGATGTGCCAGCCTTCCTACTGCGCTGCACTGCTTTGACCTAGCTGTCTTCAGCATATTGAGGAGCTTTATGAGCTCAGCGGGAGGACCTTCACTTCCTGCTCTGTCATTCTGAGCCAGAAACACAGTGGCGAGAGCAAAACCAAGGCAGGCATCTCTATCCTTTATTTTTTAACATTACAGGTTGACTTTCTCTCTTTTTTTTTTATATATGATTGTTTATGAGAAGTTCGCTGTCCAATCGACGCACACAAACATGCGTCTACATCTCCACCCTGCATGCAGCTGCCTGTTTCAGGTGAATAAGGCTGAAGCAGCGTTTCATCTCTTCTCTGCTCTCCCTTCATCACACCTGCAGCTCTTTATACAACCAACACACACGGCAGATTGTTTTCATTCACACCACAAATACCAGCACTTGGTCACAAACATTGGCAGTCATTTCAAAAGACACACACGTTCTGCAGCAGACGAGTGTACGAGTGAGACGAAGACAAGAATGTCACCTGGTAGCTACAGGTTTTGTTTTTTCGGGATATCATCAACATCATCAAAACAAGATTATAAAGAGGGTTAACACTCTAAGAAAATGATAATAAAGATTATTGTTAAGGGCTGTCAAACTATTACAGCGATTGAGCGTGTAAATCACGTGTCTGAAGTTCCATCATGTTGCATTTCTAAAAAGCTTTTTAAGTCCTTTATTTTGTATTTTTGTACTGTATTAAGCTTAGGATTCCTTTCTTCTTGGTTGGATACAAACCTGTTTTAATTTGATAAGAAAATAAGCAACTGATTGTACGACAGATGAGGATTATAATAAATGTAAATACTTGATGTCATGAGATGGATGCTACTTTTGACTTATCGACTGAGTCTATTATTTTCAGAACTCTATCATATTGTCATGAATGAGTGAATGCTGACAGTTCTTTCATTTTTGTTCTCAGATACTTTGTCTTTGAAGAAAATCCTTCATTATGTTATTGTACGTCAGGTCTGCTGCAGGGTTAATGAAAAAAATGCAACGTGTGATAACAGTGTTCAGTATCGTGATGACGATATAAAGGGACAATAAACAAATAATAATAGAGTGTACCAGCTATAATTATAGTTTTTAAGTCAATCTGCTTTGATTTAGTCGCTCCCCGCAACATTTCTGTAGTGACTTCAAGATAAATCCAAACAGCCGTTCTTCTTCTTTTCTTCAACACTAAACTGAGAGTAACTGATTACTGGCTTGAGCTTCATCCGAGGAAGAGGACAAAATACAATTATAAAATATGGGTATTTTTAAAATAACATTTCTTATTTATCCCCATTAATTCAGACTTTTGTGATGTCTGTATTGGGAATGCTCAAACCACAATAACGATGACACTGGAATTAATTTAGCAGCACAATTTAACATCGTAACAAACGTGTTCAGATTCCTTTTCTGTACCAGCAATTTGTGCAGTTCAGTCATTAAATACTCTTCTAGTGTAGTATAGTATGTTAAGTGTGTAAATGTACAATTCTGGTATCCGGACAACACCGGTCTCTTAGAAAACAAAAATCCAACCTTCCCTTCTCTACTTCTTCCAACCTTAAACCCACCCTGAAACAATCCATTTTAAGCACTCTTGAGTGTCAGGGTCAAATCCTCCCATTAAATGATTACTGCTTAATACCTCGGAGTCCCTTTTATGATAATCTGTAGTCAACACTAAAGCATTTGTAAATTAAGATATTGTTTCTATGTTTAACAGTGTGACAGAATGTACTTGGTTTTAAGAATATTATATACATTTACAGAACACACATCGTTCCATCAACCAGGCTTGAGAGTCCACTTACATGGAGGAGTTGACGGTGGTGTAGCCGGAGGGACACTCAGGGATGCATCCCCCGTTGTGGATGACGTACTCGTGGCAGTCGGGGCTCTTGGTGCGCTCCTTCTCCCGCTTGCATTTGTTGTGGAGTTCCTGACAGAAGGCAAAAGAGACGCAGCGCCAGCCTTTATAGGTAAAGTGGTTTTCGGGGCAGCGTTCTACGCAGGTGCCCTCGTGCTGGAGGCCGCGGCAGGCCACGCAGTGAGCGGCCGAGTGGGGCTTCAGGCAGCCGCCCAGACACTGGTCGTGGCAGCACTGGTCGTCCTTGGTGCAGGCTCGATGTTTACACTGAACAGGACACACTGCAGAGGAGAGAGGGATAAGACAGTCCAGTTAGAGAAGCATAGGCAAACAGGAACCATCAAGTCTGAGTGGCTCTTTCACACATGCCCATCACCGTGGGAGACTTGGGATGCAATTGAATTCACAGTTATGTTTACAACATTTCCAAGATGTCAGACAAAGCCACAGATGAAATGCCTTCATTACAATGCTATCTGTAAATGAACACAAGTATAAGAACATGAAAGAGTGTGAAGCAGCTTCATTTTGTGCACAAAGATCGAACATGGCAGGACGCAAGTAACAAGACAATATCCTCGTCACCACGCTTACTTCTTGTGGTCAGCTCACCCCAACTTCTGTTTTTCTTTTCTTTATTTTTTTGTTGCTTTCATTTATAGTAGAGGAACTTGGGCCCCTAAAAGTTGAGACACCCCTACCCGAGATAGAACAAAGCACAACCATATTTTTTCAAAACTTGAACATGTCTAGTTTATGAAACGGATGGTTGTATCAAAATATTTTACTGCAAAATAACTTTTTTTGGATGTTTTATACATCTTACCAAAAAACGAAAAATAGGTCAAATTATTTGTTCACAAATAAAAGGGCTGCTGAAGATGTATGGACTGAATATGAGCTACAGCGTCAGAGAAAAAGGAACATTAATGGTATCCAAGTAGCCCAATCCGTTTTTAAATACAGTATAAAGATAGATATTCTCATATTCATCTGCTCCTTCTGTCTGCGTACAGAGTGTAATCCCTCTCCACAGCATTCACCAGAAGCCCAAACACAACCATCTGTGGTTGGCCAACATGCAAAGTGAATACAAACAGAACAGCAGGGATCAAACGGTATTTGACTAAATCCAAACACTTATCCAGAAGGTGAAAGTGAGGCAGAGGGGAAAAGGCTGCATGTGCATTTGCAGGTTCTTGGAAATTTGAGAACATTTAGTTTTACAATTTCAGACAGTTTCAGATTTAAAAAAGAAAAAAAGTAGGTCTTAAAAGGAAGTTCACATTAAAAGGAAAAAATAATTCTTGGGAGCTCTGCAGTGCCTTGAGTTCATGAAATCAAAGTTGAGGCACAAAATCATTTAAGGAGAGCATGATGATGATATCCATCCGTTCATCACTGGGCTCTGGCTGCGATGTCTATAGTCCAAACAAACCCAACGGTAAATCATGTAAAGTAGATGTGTGAAACAAAAGCAGGGGCCTCTTTCAGAAAGATGAAGTGTTTAACAGACACAAAACAAACACACACACTGAAGTTCATAACTGTTTCTAGAGTTCAATAACAAACAGCTAAAGACAGCGTAGGTCAGCTGTTTGTGCATACGTCTGCATGTGTGTGTGTGTGTGTGTGCTTGTACATTAGCCTCTTACATAACATTAGACCGTTAGGATTGGCAAAGAGTGTGTGTGTGTGTAAGTGCACCAGGGGTTTACGAGTGTGTTGTTGTGTCAGCAGAAGTATGAGGACAAGTGTGTGAGCATGTACGGAGGCTTCTCAGAGGTAAATACCGCTGACTGACCTCCCTGCTGAGATTAGCCTCTCATCCACGAGAGCCAGATTAAGAGCGGTCAGCAGCAGGGGATATAATGAGTCGCAGAGGTTACAGGTTACACCGTAAAGTTGTGAGTGTGTTGGTGTATCCAAGTGTCTGCGCCAACATTAAGACGTGGAAAGAAAACGACAGGAGAGGAAATGTTTCCTTTCGGACTTCCAATTTCGCCTCCATAATCTGTTTTTTTTTCCCCCTATGTAATTGATTTCCTTATTAACTTTCTGTTGTCGGGCACGACCGTGTTCAAAAACTGCTTGGCCTCATTAGCGACATGAGGTCAGGCCTAGCGCGAACAAAACAACATGGACCCCCTGTCCTCCTGCATTCATAAAGGTAAGCTCCTGAAGCGCAAGAGGAGTGTGTTCGGCAGGCAGCAACAACATGAGAATAGGAGTATGTGCCTGTATGTTGGGGAAGGGGGTGCTGGAGGGGGGGAACAAATGATATAACCACCTTTTATCTACGTCAGCCTGCTAGTCCACTGATACACAGTGAAAAAAGAAAAAGACAGAAAGAAAACAAAAATGTCCTCTTGATAAATTGTTTTTCTATTATTTAAGTTCCACTCAAAAGCTGCTCTTCAACTTTTCCCCAAACACGTACGCACATACACCCCCCCCCCCCAATACACACACACACACACACTCCCTCCCCCCTCTCCACGCCTCCCCCCATATGTTTGAACAGAAACGCTTTGCTGTGTGCTCACACAGACTCCTGATCCTCCAGCGCGGCTCCATGTCAGAGCACAGGCCCAGCAGCAGATCCACCCTCAGCCTTAGCCAATGTGTTGGCTAGCTGCAGAAGCTAGCCATTCAAATGGCCTCTCCCATCTCCAAGGAAGACAGGCGCACAGTTTAACCCTTTGTGTCCCTCTGTCCTCCCTCTCAGCCAGTCAGACAGCCGCAGCGATGGGTGGTACTCAACACATATCAACCCCGAGAGCCACATAGTAACAGACTGGAGCTGAAGCCAAAAAAAAAACGGGGAGGGGGGAGGGGGGCAATGCTGCGCTCTCTGTTTCTTTGTGGCTACAATTGTTTTTATGATATAGAAAGCACAACTTGTTCTTAAGATGTTTTATAAAAATGATGCATTAACTTTGAGTTGAAAGAAGGAGGAACAGATGCAAAGCAGTTTCCAGTTCATCCTTGTTGAGAGATATATGTTGTATTTTGGTTATTAAGAGGTTCAAATTCATACAGACGTTAATGTTATGTTATTAAAGTGTTGAAAACTTATAGCTCGCCAACCGCAATGCAGTAGTTGTAAAGAACCGTCGATTTAGTGCAGTGCACGAGCGACAAAAAAATGCAGCAGATTAACATGTGATGCATCAAGTCTCATCTTGTTCATAACTCTTTAGAAGTACTAACAGACTTTAACAGATTGTTATGAGAGCAACTTCTTCAAACTGACTGATTGTTTTAAGAGTGGAGTTTGAACTTCTTTCAGATACTTTTGGTTCATATTTCTGCAAAGGGTAAAATATGTTTGTGTTGAAATGTTGTCTTTATAGAAAGACGTGTATCAGAGTCAGATCGGGCTTTTATGATCCGTTGATGATGGTTAGTACAGTTTGTACAACTTCTGTCAAATGGACACCATGAAGAACTGTCATTTAAAAAAGAAAAGAAAATTGTTTTTGAATCACAGAGGACCAGGAACAATTTGTTGATTAACTGGTCAAATCTGCAGTTGTTCCAACCATCTCAAACTCAACATTGGTTCAGAGATTATGTCGTGTATGTTTGATATTTTTGTTGATTTAATGTTGTCCTTTTGTGTTAGATGATGCCATTATACCATGTCTCACTTGTTTTTAACTTCACTCTGACTTCACTGTTAAAGGCTGTAAATAAACACATGATCGATACGTTGATCAACATACAGGTGAAATACATCGTTTTAGGTTTATTATCAAGCAAGAATTATATATGTTCTGCTCATCGCTTCTCAAATGTTAGGATGCGCTTCTTCTTCGTTTTTAATTTGAATAAAATATGTTGAGTTTTGATAAAAAGCCTCTGGGACAAAACAAGATATTTAAAAACACCATCTTGAACTTTAAGTTTGTTTTTATTTTATTCATTGAATGAACTTCTCAATGTTGTTGATTATTCATTACAATACTCAACAACTCAACAGAAAATGAAAAAATAACTGATAGTTGCAGCCCTACATTGTATTTTCTTATTTAAATTAGAGCTGGGGAAGTTATGTTGATTAGTTTGTTAACTAAATATCAGCTTTTCCATTGTTAGGATTTTAGCATTTAAAATTTTAAATCTTGACTTCATATCATAACAAGGATTTGAAAGATGTGACCTTGATCCCTCAGAATGTGTGATGTGTGTGTTCTTCCTTTGAGGTTCTTATATTCAGAGAAAATGTTTAATAAATCTGTTTGTTGGTTTCTGTTGCTCATGTAATTCAAATGTAGCATCTCTCAAAAAAGTGTGGTGGGTGCAGGAGAAGAAAAATACAACGGTTGGTTGATGTGGTTTAGTCAATTAAGGCGGTTGATGTCAAGCCTCAGACATGCAGCCGGTGCCACCTGAAAGTGGACAACAACTTTCATGAAGCACCAAAACAAACCAATCACTGTCCAAAAGATTTTTACAGTCCACTTGAGCTGACTCGGCAATGTGTGCCAAATTGTTATCGTTAGGTTTGCAGTTTGGCCTAAATTAGCAGCATTATTTGCTGTCGGGAGATCATCAGGGTGTTCATAACATCAACAGCGAGTGACCACACTGAAGGAGATAAACTTGTTTCTTGTGTGCTTGTCCAAAAGGTTTTCAAGGTCGAGACCCTGACGACCTTTGAGAGTGAGGCCACCCCAAGCCGTCTTTGATCTCCCCGAGCGAGAACGACGCTGAGGAGACCGTTTGGAGGAGTATGTCATTCTTTCCTTAAAACATGCAAATCTCTTAATACAGGCCCAGTTTCTTTATTGTCGTTATGAACCCCCGCTGCTCGCACTGTTCATGGAAAGCAGAGGTCTTTTCTCAGTTTGGTCGGTGTCGATTAGTTATGCTCAGCTTGAGTTTGGTCTTGTCAGCATCTCCACCACTTATCTCCCGTTTGGACAAAGTAAAATCACTTGACAACAAAGAATCAATGGAGGTTTTGGGAGGCAAGCGCTGGATTGGCAGTTGGACTTAGGTTTGTTTACAAATGGCTACATCTTATTGTTTTAAAGCTTTCTGGGCTGAGTGTATCTACTCCAGTCTCTGAACTCCTTATCCTCTGGATTATGACTCTGGTTCATCTGGCATGCTGTCTGATCTCTTTGTCATGGGGTTTTTGTGTAAAGTGCAGCAGGATCACATGAAGGCCTGCGAATAATGCTGCAGAAATGCCTGGCTCTTCATCTCATCAGAAGAGGCTTTCGCTTGGCTATGGGGGCAGAGCCACACAATGAGATGCACAATCCTTGAA